TAACAGTATAAATATTTTTTGTCATGGTTCAGGTGTACGACAGTTCAGCCGACCTCAGAAACCCACCAGAACTGTGGAGACTAAGGACTTCTACAGGTACGACGTACACACCAACCAGTGGCAGAAACTGGTCCGCTTTATACAGTACGCCAACACACAGTGCTGCACCGTGGCAACCCTCAACATCAAATTCCTCCATGAAAGTGACTTTATCAGTGTTGGGGAGGGTATTGAACTAAATGAACATTAAGGTTACTATACAAAGGCATAAGACTATGTTAAATTGAACATCTTCTTAGATATGAACAATTGTTTGGGAGGAAACTTTGACTGTTTATTTGAACTTCTATAATTAGTTTTACCAGAATAGGACATGCTTTTATAAAAAGAAAAAAACAGGCTTGATAAAAAATTTTGATGTGTTGGCATAGATCTGCAGATGTTTCAAATACATTTGTTAAAGGTGTAGATAATGGTCTGTTTACAATATTGTTTCATTGTATCAACTGTCTTCCTGGAATGGAGTAAAGCTCCACTCTTTTTAGCTCACCTGAGCCGAAGGCTCAAGTGAGCTTTTCTGATCACATTTTGTCCGGCGTCCGTCTGTCCGTCTGTCTGTCTGTCTGTCTGTCCGTTTGTCTGTAAAGTTTTCACATTTTCGACTTCTTCTCAAGAACCACTGGGCCAATTTCAATCAAACTTGGCACAAAGTATCCTTGGGTGAAGGGGATTCAAGTTTGTTCAAATGAAGGGCCACGCCCTTTTCCAAGGGGAGATAATTATGAATTAGAGAAAAATTAATGGCATTTTTAAAAAATCTTCTTCTCAAAAACCACTGGGCCAGGAAAGACCAAACTCATGTGGAATCATTGTTAGGTAGTGTAGATTCAAGTTTGTTCAAATCATGACCCCCGGGGCTAGGGTGGGGCCAAAATGGCCAACCAAAGTTTTACATAGGAATATATAGGAAAAATGTTTAAAAATCTTCTTCTCAAGAACCATTGGGCCAGGAAAGATGTAACTCCTGTTGTATCATCCTCAGGTAGTGTAGATTCAAGTTTGTTCAAATCATGACCCCCGGGGCTAGGGTGGGGCCAAAATGGCCGACCCAAGTTTTACATAGGAATATATAGGAAAAATCTTTAAAAATCTTCTTCTCAAGAACCACTGGGCCAGGAAAGATGAAACTCATGTGGAATCATCCTCAGGTAGTGTAGATTCAAGTTTGTTCAAATCATGACCCCCGGGGCTAGGGTGGGGCCAAAATGGCCGACCCAAGTTTTACGTAGGAATATATAGGAAAAATCTTTAAAAATCTTCTTCTCAAGAACCACTGGGCCAGGAAAGATGAAACTCATGTGGAATCATCCTCAGGTAGTGTAGATTCAAGTTTGTTCAAATCATGACCCCCCCCCCCCCCCCCCCCCCCCCGCTAGGGTGGGGCCAAAATGGCCGACCCAAGTTTTACATAGGAATATATAGGAAAAATCTTTAAAAATCATCTTCTTAAAAACCACTGGGCCAGGAAAGATGAAACTCATGTGGAATCATTCTCAGGTAGTGTAGATTCAAGTTTGTTCAAATCATGACCCCCGGGGCTAGGACGGGGCCAAAATGGCCGACCCAAGTTTTACATAGGAATATATAGGAAAAATCTTAAAAATCTTCTTCTTAAAAACCACTGGGCCAGGAAAGACGAAACTCATATGGAATCATCCTCAGGTAGTGTAGATTCAATTTTTTCAAATCATGACCCCGGGGGGCTAGGGCGGGGCCAAAATGGCCGACCCAAGTTTTACATAGGAATATATAGGAAAAATCTTTAAAAATCTTCTTCTTAAAAACCACTGGGCCAGGAAAGATGAAACTCATGTGGAATCATCCTCAGGTAGTGTAGATTCAAGTTTTTTCAAATCATGACCCCGGGGGGCTAGGGTGGGGCCAAAATGGCCGACCCAAGTTTTACATAGGGATATATAGGGAAACCTTTTAAAATCTTCTTTTCAAGTACTTCAAAGCTATGATTAGTGATATTTATATGGAATCATCCTCAGGTAGTGTAGATTCTAGTTTGTTCAAATGGTTAATGCCTGGAGGGGGGGTTAAATTCAAGCCCGATGTGCTCAGGTGAGCGCTGTGGCCCCTGGGCCTCTTGTTGGTTGTACATGTATTGTTTAACAAGTTTATTTTTATGCCCACCTTTGAAGAAGGAAGGACATATTGCTTTGCTGCTTTCTGTCGATCGGTCTGGCTGTTGGGCCATCATCAGTTTCTGTTCATTTTCTTTGCAGAGATTGTACATATTGAAATGAAATTTGGTATACAGATTCATCATAAGAATAATATCTAAGTCAAGTTCTGTTTTTGGAAATAATGGAGCCATTTTGGACAGAGTTATGCGCCTAGGACTCAGAAAAATTTCACTTATTAGGGAGAGGGGGGCATAAGTGATTAACAAACATCTCTTCTTATAGATATCTTGTGTATCTTGACATTTTTGTTACTTATGAGAATATCAGGATTCAAATACCCACACCCTTAAAAAAATTCATGATCCTCATAATAGCCTGGTGAATGTTGAGGTTCATGGGCCTCATGGACCTTAACATGCACCTGGCTATTATGAGGATCAAATTTTTGTTGCATGTTGTTGCAGAATTTTCCCCAAGAATCTCTTTGCATATTAAGGTTAAATTGTTGGCATGTTGAAGAATTTTCCCAATTGTCTTTTAACATTAATTAAGGTTTGCTGGCCTGTTGATGTGGAATTTCCCCCCATACGTCTCTTTGCAGTTTAAGAGATTTGTCTTCTTGTTGCAGAGTGTTCCCAATTGTTTCAGTTGTTCCCAGTTGCATATTAAGTTGGGATTTGTTGGCCTGTTGTTGCAGAATATCCCCAATCTTCTTTCATTTTATACATTTATTGCAAGACAGTCAATAGTAAGAGAGATATGAATATTTATTCATCCAGAAAATCCTGTTTAATACCAGCAAAATATTTTTTTGAAGGTAAATAGGGACATTCATGCAATAAAATGTTTATGCTAAAAGACTACCAGACTACGATATTAATCTATTATTTTCTGCAACAAACAATAACTAATGAAAACTAAAATTAATATGTGATATGTAAAATAAAAAAAAATTTTATTTTGAGTATAAAAAAAGCAGCACAGAATGATATAGAAAAGGAATATAGAAGGATGAAAGGGAAATATAAAGTTTTATTCCCATGTCACATGACTGTCTAGAACCAATGAGATAATGTTGTATAGAAAACAAATTATGAGATATAATAATAACAATAAAGTTTGTTGGCCTGTAGTTACAGAATTTCTCCAGTCTTCAGTTGGCTTCTTGTTGCATAACTTCCCCAATCTAGCTACATATTAACTTTAGTTTTGTTGGCCCTTTTGTCAAAGAATGTTGAATAATATAAATCTTGTTGCTCTTTGTGGCATGTCTATTTGACTTGTTGAAGCTATAAGTATTTTTACATCTGCTCCAATTTCCAGTAGCAGTTAGGAAGGATTTTCTTTTAAGTGCCAGTCTTCTTTTCAAAGTACCATGTTTGCTTTGAAAGAAATTATAATGTATTTTTTAGATGCATTTTCATACGCCCGTCTTAAGACGGGACGTATTATGTTATAGGCTTTGTGTCCGTCTGTCCATTCCTGTCCGGCTCATAACTTGAATACTATTAGGCCTAGGATTATCAAACTTTGTCAACTTATACTTCTTGGGTAGACGGTGTGTCGCGCACAAAAAGTAGGTCGCTCTGACCTTTAATAAAGATGCTATAGCCAAATATGGAAAAATCCTGTCCGGCTCATAACTAGAAAACTATTAGACGTAGAGCTTTCAAACTTGGCAAAAGTATACATCTAAAGTAGAAGGTGTGTCGCGGCCTATTTCAAGGTCACTGTGACCTTTAATTATAGTGAATTTTTTAAAAAAACTAAGTCTTTTAAATTCTAAATTTCATAATCCTAAAAAATGTAAAAATATAGTTATATGCTTATTAAAAACAGTTAAATTAAGTAAAAACTTGTTTTTTCATTATATACTTTACAGCAATCTGTAACAAATGTTTATGCTTTGAGAGGAATTCAGTTTGTCCCATGGGCTTAATTATCAAGCACTGGTCAAGAAGAATTTTGATAGCAGAAATTTGCATGTCAAATTAGAGAGAAATTAATGAGTTTATTGTCAGGAGCTAAGAGCATCTCTAGATCTGATGCAGATGCTATCTTAATTTATCTCTTGGGAGTTGGGCAAAAAGAAATGGCCTCATAGTTGCTTGTGCTAATTAAGAGTTCTTGATGGCTAGTCCAGATAAAGATCTTTCAATAGGTGTAATGAAATTAAAACAAATTGATGTTTTAGTGTATGATTAAAACTAAATTAGTATTGTATAATATGATTAAAACTAATTATATATGTGTTAATTTGAAAAAAAAAAAATTACATTTCAATTTTTATTTATTTGCAACAAAGATGCTATAGCAAAATATGGAAAAATCCTGTCCGGCTCATAACTAGAAAACTATTAGACCTAGAGCTTTCAAACTTTGCAAAAGTATACATCTAAAGTAGAAGGTGTGTCGCGGCCTATTTCAAGGTCACTGTGACCTATAATTAAAATGAATTTTTAAAAAAAAACTATGTCTATTAAATTCTAAATTTCATAATCCTAAAAAATGTAAAAATATAGTTGTATCCTAGCTTTTTAAAAAAACGTTAAATTAAGTAAAAACTTATTTTTTCATTATATACTTTACAGCAATCTGTAACAAATGTTTATGCTTTGAGAGGAATTCAGTTTGTCCCATGGGCTTAATTATCAAGCACTGGTCAAGAAGAATTTTGATAGCAGAAATTTGCATGTCAAATTAGAGAGAAATTAATGAGTTTATTGTCAGGAGCTAAGAGCATCTCTAGATCTGGTTATCTTAATCTAGTTATCTTAATTTATCTCTTGGGAGTTGGGCAAAAAGAAATGGCCTCATAGTTGCTTGTGCTAATTAAGAGTTCTTGATGGCTAGTCCAGATAAAGATCTTTCAATAGGTGTAATGAAATTAAAACAAATTGATGTTTTAGTGTATGATTAAAACTAAATTAGTATTGTATAATATGATTAAAACTAATTATATATGTGTTAATTTGAAAAAAAAAATTACATTTCAATTTTTATTTATTTGCAACAAAGATGCTATAGCAAAATATGGAAAAATCCTGTCCGGCTCATAACTAGAAAACTATTAGACCTAGAGCTTTCAAACTTTGCAAAAGTATACATCTAAAGTAGAAGGTGTGTCGCAGCCTATTTCAAGGTCACTGTGACCTATAATTAAAATGAATTTTTAAAAAAAAACTATGTCTATTAAATTCTAAATTTCATAATCCTAAAAAATGTAAAAATATAGTTGTATCCTAGCTTTTTAAAAAAACGTTAAATTAAGTAAAAACTTATTTTTTCATTATATACTTTACAGCAATCTGTAACAAATGTTTATGCTTTGAGAGGAATTCAGTTTGTCCCATGGGCTTAATTATCAAGCACTGGTCAAGAAGAATTTTGATAGCAGAAATTTGCATGTCAAATTAGAGAGAAATTAATGAGTTTATTGTCAGGAGCTAAGAGCATCTCTAGATCTGGTTATCTTAATCTAGTTATCTTAATTTATCTCTTGGGAGTTGGGTAAAAAGAAATGGCCTCATAGTTGTTGTGTTAATTAAGAGTTCTTGATAGCTAGTCCAGATAAAGATCTTTCAATTGGTGTAATTAATTAAAACAAATTGATGTTTTAGTGTATGCATGATTAAAACTAAATTAGTATTGTACAATATGATTAAAACTAATTATACATGTGTTAATTGAAAAAAAAACATTATATTTCAAATTTTATATATTTGCGACAAATTGCAGTCATGTCTCACTAGTATTATTTGTTATAATCAATCCCTACACTGTAAGTCTCTTAGAGATGTATAATAAGAAATGGAAAATAGATAATTGAAATCTGTGTCAATCTGTTAATCAAGGCTACCTGATTTTCTTGCATCCTAACCAATTTATGATTATTGAACAATATTTGACGGGCGTATCATGCTGTGGCGGGGCACTTTATTTCATGTTTATATGTTAATGTCTGAACATTTAATTTGAGTAGTTTTACTCAATGAATATGATACCATAAGTGGTCAAAGATCAAGGTCATGTTAATCAATTTCAAAATTTATTTAAAATTGTATACATTATATTTTCACATCAAAACATCTTTATGTAAATACGAAGAATTTAGTTAATTTCAAAACACTTTTTGTTCACTTGAATGTTTAAGTGAATTGATATAAGCATGCTTTAGAGGCAAACATGTATATGTAATTGAGTTATTTGTTTACAGATTAATTTATTAGATTAATAAAGATATTGAATTATTTCATCATTATTTATCATTGCTGTAGATTGATTTTCACTCAAATGAATAAAAAATTAATTTGTCTAATTTCCTTTCATAGATTTCATTTGAGAGTATAACATATACTGAGTATTCAAATATCAGCTGATCTTTACATATTTTTGACTAATTGGGATAATTGAATTTGTCTTCAAATGAAGCACCATTGTATTTTAAAATTTAGTTTTGAAACATGTATGCATAAAAATAATTGTTTCGGGTTATTGGAAACTCCAATGTCGATAATGAATGATTTATAGGTGATGATATTCACGGTACATACATTCCTCTGAAAGCCCAATTATGGCATGGTAGTTGATCAAAGGAAAAGTAAGTTTTATATACTTTTTTGCAAAAAAAAAAAAAAAAAAAAAACTAACAAAAATCAATTAAACAAATGATAAGATCAATAGAACACAGAATGACAGATATAGAAGAAGGAAAAGTTGAGAATTTTCAAAATAACAAGAAGAGAAGGAAATAAAATCAATAAAACTGATGAATTTTTTTGAAAAGTTAAAAATTGCAAAATTTTCCAGAAATCAAATCAATAGTGTATATATCAAAACATAGTTGTATGACTTTTCAACACTTTATTCTACTATTCCTCATGATAAGTTAAAAAGCAGGCATTTTGATACCAATGACAACAATTTATGGGAATGCTTGTGGGCATCAATTTTGCTCCTTTATTATTTGACCTTTTACACGTATATTCTTATGAAAATAATAATAACTTCTTCGTTAAGTTCTAAATGAGAAGAAGTAATTTTTTGCAGTTGCCTTCAATTCAATTGGCGAGACTATGAATTATAATTCTTTTCATTTATTTGTCAAATGTACATGTATATGTCCATCTAAACTCGAAATAAAAGACACCACAGCGTTTGGACATCATCTGGATGTTTGGAAATCGGTCCTTCTGATGAGAACGTATAAACCAAGATCCCGTGTCGTAGTAGCTATAGGAGTTGGTGCAAAAAAGGCCCTGAGAGGCCGAGTATAGCTATAAATTTGAAGCCCTCCTCTGGCAAGTGGCGGCATCTCAAAATGAATGAAAAATTCTGAAAGGGATGTTAAGGAGGCTGGGGGTCAACAAAATTAACCACCAGATATAACTTAATTTTTTAGATATGATATTTTAAGCTATCAACTATCATTTGGCAATAAAAATTACAAAAATTTTAGTTTTAAAATTTTATCATTTTTCTATATCTTCATATGGAGCTCTTTGTCTAAAGGAGATCAATATAGTCTAAAAATGGCCACACCCCCCCCCCCCCCCCGGCCCCTTTAAACGAAGAAACAAGCAAAACAATTTTTTTGAAGATTGATGCAGATTAGTAATAAATATTTAAAGTTAATATAAGCGTTTTGGAAGTTATTTACATTTGTGTTTTTTTCAGTAGTAAAAAAATATACCAAAAAATTTCCAGACCTTTTTCTTCCTTTTTTGGAAAAGGGGGGGGGGGTATTCCTTAAAGACTTTTATGCAGACTAATCGGTAAGAAGTTTTCTAACCACAAAAAAGATTGGGACACATTGAATTTATATTAAAAAAGATTATTGTAAAGTGCTTAGAAAAAAATTATCTGTAAATGTTTGAATAATCTTTTGAATAACAAGTATTTTTGAATCCTTTCAGAGTTTGGTTAACCAATTTTAATCCTATCATCTCGATAAAATTTGGGATCATCCGCATGAAATTGTCTACCTTTACGAAATTAAAAATAGTATACTATAATATTCAAAACTTCAGAGCCAAACTCAAGTGTTTGAAATGAATAAAACAGACTTTTTAACATGTTTGATATTTCCAAACTTAACCGAGTCTCAAAGTTGACTTTTTTGAATTGCTTCCGATCGCTTTTCACCGGAAGCGATCATGACTTAAATTTAAATATTCTTATTTCTTGCAACCGATTTTCTGAATTATAGTCTTTCTTCACATTCAGTCACTGTTGTCGTTGTAAAATGTTTACTTTAAAGAAAACTTTAGAAAAGACATTTACTTTAGTACGTGGTGTTTGTCTAGTTTATCTGCAGTTACCTTAATTTTCATCCTTAATCACAGAGCATCTAAGGTACAAAAAAGATTCCCACGATTTTTACCCCACTTTAACAAGGCCCCACTGCTTTGTTAAAGTATCAAGTATTTGCATCTATCCAAAGTTCAATTATTTGATCAACATTTTTTTTTCTACAGACCAAGAGAATTTAAAACTATACTCCATCAGCGACAACCAACAATTCTTATAAGTCGATCAGCATCTGCAGCAATCAGCGAGAGCTGTTGAAAAATGTTCAAAATGATTCAAACTTTAAAATTCCTTTTCTCGTTAACCATAATCAGACAGATTTTTACTACGAATTTTCACTATTCTTGGTCAGATGAGGTGGTAGAAAACCCTACAACATCCTGTAACCATCTTGCGTCGTTTTCGCGTCCGTCGAAGTGTCTGGCGGCGTGTCTTAATACCTACACTCTACTTCACGCCGTGGGCTGGGACAAGATGTCACTTTCGTGTGTTTGCTGCCCTAGTCCTTTGTTGGACTCTGAAGCGACATTGGCGGGAAACTGGCAGACCTACGTTAGTGGTAAGACTATCTTATCTGAATTAAAATTTTCTAATATTTATTTCATAAATAATTCAAAATTAAGATTCTATGCAGGGTTTTTTTTAAGGTTATAGATTTTATTGTTGATATATTTGTACCAAAGAAATTTTGTCGTAATTATCAAAACATTCTCTGTGAGAATCGTCACCAAACATGTAAGTCTTAGGATCCTTTGTTTATTTATTTAAAGACAGGATTGCGTTTTGAGGAGTCTTTCGTTATTCATTAGTGGTAAAGTTATGGTGTGCCACCATCGACATTTTATACACCATACTTTCATACAAATAAAGCAATAAAAACTGATCAGATTAACTCTAAGATTTTTTTTTATTCGGAAGTACGGTTTTCTGTGAAACTGAAAGTATTTATCAGTTTAAATATAAAAAAGAATAAAAGTAGTAAAATCAAAGTTTTTACCATACTACCTAGTATGTGTTTCAAAGATTAGATTGCTTGTCGATTGAAATGTTATTTTCAAAATAACCTTGTCGAAATGGAATTTTGTCTGAGAGCCTACTAGTAGAAATTTCCTGATATTAAACCTTTTTTCTATATATTTTTTGTACAGTTGGAAAAGCTCTAACAAGTCAATAAATTGACTTAATACAGTTTGGTATTAGGTCAGTCAGTTTAATTTGATCTCTTGTCAGCCACAATGTTATATAACGTGACTGTAAAGTTTGCTGTATCAAATTTTGAAAGGAATATTCCAATCAATACAGAAGCATTAAATACATTTTCACGTTTGGTTAAATACAAATTGGATTACAACTTTAATTTAAAAATGCATTTGAAATCATAAGCCATGATGGATTGGATGTTTCAACAGCTCTGGGTTGCTTGTACAAACATAGAAATATTAAATCGAAGATGACAAACATTTTTAAGATTGGAGGTGAAAGATATTGAGTTAAAGAACAGTATTTAAGCTAAAATGTCCATTAAAAATACAAAATAGGAGCAGAGCAAACGCGGACCTCCAAAACATCTGAAGTGGGATCAGGTGCCATGGAGGGGTGAGCATCCCCTGCCAACCGGTCACACCCGCCATCTGCTCCTTGTCATGATCGGGCAATAACGGGAAAATCCGTCGACAATGCAGTGTCCAACATGATAACTGTGGAGCTAGTTTTAGGTCACCTGAACCTATTGAAGCTTCTCTGGTCACGTGTTGTCCTTGTACATGTACATGTAAGGGGTCACAATAAAAGGTCATCAGAACCATTTCTTTTAATATAAAAAGTATAGAGCTGGAGGGTATAAACATTTTATTAAACAGTCTTTTGAGGGGTATAGCAGGACGAAGGTGACTTTCTGGAGAAAGTTGTGGCATTTTGTATTCTTGATATGAATAGTCGCAGTTTCGATCATTCAAAGCATTTTGCCATTAAAGTTGCTGTCTAAATCAAGACAATTTTAATTCTTCATTGAATTTTTTTTTCTTTGCTCTGTCAATTCTTTTCCCCAGTTTATATACATGTGATTATTTTTTTTATACAGGGACGTGCCTACCTGGGTACCAGCTCGTTGCCCCCCGTACCTGCTATAAATATAACTCCTCCTCTGTCAGCTACCCAGTGGCCGACGCCCTGTGCAAGGCCGAAGGAGGGGCCCTTATTAGAATAGACTCTGCTGAAAAGAACTCCGTGTTTACAAATTTTGTCGGTAAGTTTTAATTTTCTTAAGAAGTATTCATCAACATGCAGAATTCCACTGTTCACACACACGCACCCACCCTCCCTCACACACACACACAAATATACACGAGAGAGAGAGAGAGAGAGAGAGAGAGAGAGAGAGAGAGAGAGAGAGAGAGAGAGAGAGAGAGAGAGAGAGAGAGGTAACCATGGTATGCTAACAATTTTAGATACGATCAAAAATTTCCCTTTTTTCAGAAAACCACGTTAGTGACACGTCGGGTACACAAGTGTGGGTCCAAGCCACACGGAAAGGCTCTTTCTGGTATTTTGATGACAACACGCTCATCGAATTCGATAATTTCGGTGTTGGTGCAAATAGCAACGGAGAACTTGAAATCAGATTTAGGGCAAGAGAAGCATTGCAGTGGAAATGGCAAGACGGTCTAGATATTGACCAATTCAGTTTTGTGTGTGAATCTAAGACGATGCTGCATTGGACGACTAACGGAAATCAGATGTATAATGACTAAAATCAAGACAATGGAAACAATGAATTTGATGGACCCAACTAACTTTTCTTTGTCATGAACATTCATTTATATAAAAAAAGTTTCACTAAAATATTTTCTATGTTTCGAACTTTCGATTCAATATTTCACATTTTAAAATCTGTTAAAAATTCATGCTTGTCATGTTATTAAAAAAAGTGAAAAGCAAAGTTAGCAAACTCAGATTGCATGTTTGAAAAAACAAATAAATCAAATTTTATAGATTTCATTTCAAAATTAGAGAAAAAACTATTATAGAGCAGTCACATGCGTATGAAATTAATGATCAGCTACTCTTGTCTATTTTATCTTCGTGACACTGAATGGATTCCAGGATTTAAAGTATATAAAGTAAAGATGTTTGAATTAAACAAGACAGTGACAAATCCATAGTTTTGTCCTTTTACAAGACAGTTTTACCATACACTTACTGGTCAACAGGGGATGGTTACTCTTCTCAGGTACCTGATTCATCTCTGTAATGTCAAGGGGTCCATGTTTATTCCCTGTTCATATACCCGGTATTGGAATTACCGGTATTTGTAGTTTTTAAGAGATCCATCATGTTCGTTATTTTAATCCTATTTCATTTACATAACGGTGTCGAATCCATACAAGCTGTTGAACTTTATTACATACTAATATTACATATTTATACTACATGTATACATTGATATTGCCAGGATGTCACCCTCTCCAGTTTTCAGAAAAGAAGTTTATTATAATTTAAGGGAAAATATCAGTTTTGTTCATACTCCTACAAAAAAGGGGCCCATGGGCCACAACACTCACCTGAGTATTTGACCATGCTATTCATCACCAGATTTTCCCCTTTGTGATACTGGTACCTACTGTGGGCCAGTCCTATGCCCAGGGGTCATGATTTGGATGATTTAGAATAAACACTATGCCAGGATGCTTCTGTGTAAGTTTCAGATATCCTGGCCCAGTGGATCTTGAGAAGAAGATTTTTAAAAAATCCTATATATGTCAATGTAAAACTTGGATTCCCTACTGTGGCCTGCCCTACCCAAGGGGTCATAATGTGAACAATTTAGAATCTACACAACCAAAGTTTAGCTAAAAATGAAAGAAAAGAAAACCCTGTTATTATCTGTCACACTGAAAGCTTTCTCCTCATTATCAGATTTCTCTCAGGGCTCTAACAGTAACTTCTGTTTATCTGAAAGTGTGAAATGAAGAATGTGCCACTGTCCCCTAAATTTTCTGTAAAATGAAAAAAAAAATGTGAAAAAAATACGCAGTTGTGTATTAAGTTTATTAAAATATTGAAATGAGACATTTAGATATATGTATTTGTTACATAATACAGTGTGCTAGTATATGGAATGTACTGAATAAAAAGTAGTACATTTATAAGTCCATCAATGCAATGTAAAGAAAAACCCAAAATCTCCATTAGAAAAGCTTCAAAGTACAGTTACAGTACATCACCCATGTATCTTTTGAAAACTCATTTAAACTGGTTATGGACAATTGAACCACATTTTGCATACATAGCACAATCTCAACATCTATCTTTCACACATACTGACATGGACAAGTAGCACGCAATGGGATAGCCTGTCTCAGTAATAGAGATTTCTAGGTGTTGCATAATACCAGTCAAATCAGGGACACTGCACACAAAACGTAACATGGATTTATCTCACATGAATTTCAATATCACAGATACACTCTATTCAGGCCAAGCTATCATGCTTGAAATGATTTCAAATTAAGAATTGGACTCGCACATGTACATTCATGGGGGTGGAGGAGGTTAGTTGGGGGCATCAATCAGTATATGTTATACATGTATATTGCTAAAAGCTGAGAAAAAATAAATAGATTCAGTTATGGGGATTAAGTCCTGGTCCCCTTCTCATACTGCACCATACCAGCTCCTGCTAACTCAAATTATTATACTCCAAAAATGTCCACTGGTTAGTAAAGAAAACAAAAATTCCTCTTTTTCAAGCACCTCCTTCTATCATTTTTCATTTACATCCCTATAACACAGATATCTTCTTCCTGGAAAACGTGGTCTCTTCTCGTTGAAAGTTTGGTTTATGAGGGGTGGCATTAATTAAAGGTTGATCTACGAATTCTACAGTACATTTATCTGGACTATCACACGGAGCATGCTCCAGTTCAAACATAATGACATAGTTAATGGTGGGGGGAGGGGCTAGGAATGGCTTTGGTACGTAGAGTCGGACTTGAGGCCCCACGTAGGGCCAGTATCGCCCAACATTGAACATGGAGGAGGACATAATTAAATGCTGACCCTGAAATAATAAAAATATATAATCTTATAAAATTGTGAAAAACATATTTTTTGTATTCTTATATAGCGCCAGAGTTAACAATTTAGAATGGATCTTGGAATGACTCTAGTGGTTTACTGCCTCATTTATTTTAAAAATTCACTGACAAGCAAGGATATATCTTTTTTTTATGAATAGTATAAATAAAGATAATATGAATAAACTAAACAGCCAGAATCATAATTGAATAAAAAGCTACTATAAAAAAGTTATTGAAGTGAATCTAAGGTTGACTTCAAATATCCAACACTGATTGTTATATTATAAGCAGTATCAGTTACTCATACAATGTAGATCATTTGATAGCAAAGATATTTGTGAAATAGAGCTACAATTCACTCATGATTATAAATAATCTGTTTCACTAGACAAATTATATACATACTGTATATATTGTTAGTATTGTATACAGGGAAATTTTCGTCCCCATTTTATTTTTGGGCCCCTTTCGCCTTTGTCACATGTGGGCGAATTTAAAATGGGGCAAATTCAAAGAACACAATATAAATTCTTAAACAGAACTGTGACTGGGCGAATTTAAACAAGAGGCCCATGGGCCTTATAGGTCACCTGAGCATCATGCAACAACTTTCAAATGATTGAATTTGGTTTATGTTTTAAGCTAGATGCTATGGCATTCACAATTTTGAAAGAGGCACCATTGCTAATCATAACTATACACTTAACAATTGTTTAGTTTGTTTACTTAATACCCATAAGCATGGTAGGGGAACAAAAATGTATGTCAACTAATCAGTAATATTTAGCAATAATCAGGAGTGCTCCTACACATGAACTCCTGACCCTAGGTCTACACATTGCACAATTTTTGAAAAGGCACACTTGCTTATCAAAATTGCTTGATTAATACCAAGGAGCAGGTTTCAAACAATTCATTTTCAGTATATAAGTAGAGCCCCCCCCCCCATTTTGGTATCCCTGACCCAGGGGCCTTGAAATTCACAAGTCTGGAAGAAGAGCCCATCATAACTATATAAATAGTTCATCTGCTTATTACCCAGGAGTAGAGAAAAAGATTTTAATAGATGTAATGTATTTTCACTATATAGTCATTATAAAGCCACACCCTAACACCAGAACCCCTGACCATGGGGACATAAAATTCACAATTTGGTAGAAGCATTCATCCTCATCATAACTATGTCCTTAATTAGTTTATTTGATACTCAGAAGCTGACAAGAAGCTTTTCAAAGAATAAATGCATTTTCACTATATAATCAATAGAGCCCCGCCCTAACACCATAACCCCTGACCCTGGGGCCATGAATTTCACAATTTTGGTAAAGGCACTCTTGCTCATCATAACTATGTACTTAGTTAGTTTATTTAATAGCTAGGAGTAGAGAAGAAGATTTTCAAAGATTTAATGCATTTTCACTATATAATCAATAGAGCCCCGCCCTAACACCATAACCCCTGACCCTGGGGCCATAAAATTCACAATTTTGATAGAGGCACTCTTGCTCATCATAACTATGAACTAAATAAGTTTATTTAATACCCAGGAGCAGAGAAGAAGATTTTCAAAGAATTAATGCATTTTCACTATATAATCAATAGAGTCCCGCCCTAACACCAGAACCCCTGAACCTGGGGCCATGAATTTCACAATTTTGGTAGAGGACTCAATGCTGATTACAATCATACCAACAGTTTGACTGCTTGATGTCTGGGAGTAAAGAAGAAGATTTTTAAAGATTGCACTAATTTTAGTGGTTTTTGCCCCATCCCCCAGGCCCCAGGGGGGCAGGGACCATTGAATTCACAATTTTTGTTCCCCTTCACCCATAGATGTTATATGCCAAATTTGGTTGAAATTGGTTCAGTGGTTTCAGAGAAGAAGCTGAAAATGTTCAAATGTTAATGCACGATGGACGACAGACGATGGACGACGACGGACGAAAACAGATAGCAATAGGTCACCTGACTTTACTCAGGTGACATAAAAAGGGCAAAATTGTTAGCAAGTGTAAAACATAGGTAATCAGAGATTACAGAGCTCACCTCAACAAATGTTGTCTTTAAGTAAGGCAAATTAAGTCACACAATCAACCAACACAAGAGGCCCAGGGGCCACAGCGCTCACCTGAGCACATCAGGCTTGAATTTACTCCCCTCCCCCCCCCCCCTCCAGGCGGTCATCATTTGAACAAACAATAATATAAACAACCTGAGGATGATTCCATATAAATATCAATAATCAAAGCTTTGAAGTACTTGAAAAGAAGATTTTAAAAGGTTTCCCTATATATCCCTATGTAAAACTTGGGTCGGCCATTTTGGCCTCACCCTAGCCCCGGGGGTCATGATTTGAACAAACTTGAATCTACACTACCTGAGGATGATTCCACATGAGTTTCATCTTTCCTGGCCCAGTGGTTCTTGAGAAGAAGATTTTTAAAGATTTTTCCTATATATTCCTATGTAAAACTTGGGTCGGCCATTTTGGCCCCACCCTAGCCCCGGGGGTCATGATTTGAACAAACTTGAATCTACACTACCTGAGGATGATTCCACATGAGTTTCATCTTTCCTGGCCCAGTGGTTCTGGAGAAGAAGATTTTTAAAGATTTTTCCTATATATTCCTATGTAAAACTTGGGTCGGCCATTTTGGCCCCACCCTTGCCCCGGGGGGTCATGATTTGAACAAACTCGAATCTACACTACCTGAGGATGATTCCACATGAGTTTAATCTTTCCTGTCCTAGTGGTTCTTGAGAAGAAGATTTTTAAAGATTTTTCCTATATATTCCTATGTAAAACTAGGGTCGGCCATTTTGGCCCCACCCTTGCCCCGGGGGTCTGATTTGAACAAACTTGAATCTACACTACCTGAGGATGATTCCACATGAGTTTCATCTTTCCTGGTCCAGTGGTTCTGGAGAAGAAGATTTTTAAAGATTTTTCCTATATATTCCTATGTAAAACTAGGGTCGGCCATTTTGGCCCCACCTTTGCCCCGGGGGTCATGATTTGAGCAAACTTAAATCTGCTCTACCTGAGGATGATATTCCACATGAGTTTCATCTTTCCTGGCCCAGTGGTTCTGGAGAAGAAGATTTTTAAAGATTTTTTCCTATATATTCCTATGTAAAACTTGGGTCGGCCATTTTGGCGTCACCCTTGCCCCGGGGGTCATGATAGGAACAAATTTGAATCCACACTACCTGAGGATGATTCCACATGAGTTTCATCTTTCCTGGCCCAGTGGTACTGGAGAAGAAGATTTTTAAAGATTTTCCTATAACATTCCTATGTAAAACTTGGGTCGGCCATTTTGGCCCCACCCTTGCCCCGGGGGTATTGATTTGAACAAACTTGAATCTACACTACCTGAGGATGCTTCCACATGAGTTTCATTTTTCCTGGCCCAGCGGTTCTGGAGAAGAAGATTTTTTAAAAATGCCATTAATTTTTAACAAATTCATGATTATCTCCCCTTGGAAAAGGGCGTGGCCCTTCATTTGAACAAACTTGAATCCCCTTCACCCAAGGATACATTGTGCCAAGTTTGGTTGAAATTGGCCCAGTGGTTCTTGAGAAGAAGACGAAAACCTGAAAAGTTTACGACGACAACGACAGACAACGGACAAATTTTGATCAGAAAAGCTCACTTGAGCCTTCGGCTCAGATGAGCTAAAAAGTATTCATCCAAAAATGCAAAATTTATGCAATTTTGATACTTTGGAACAGACCTATATAAAAACTTAAAACTAGTTCTTCATCATGAAAATGTAATTAAAATCCAGCATCTGAAGCAAGATTGAGAGTTTTCATCCCTTGATGCATCATTTGTGCAACTTTGGTTTATATAAGCCTTATAGTTTCTTGGTGATAGACCTGCACCTATAACTTTTACGAGGTCTATTATCTGGAAAATGTATGTCGAATTTAGCATCTGAAGCAAGTCCATTAATGTGCATCCTAAGATGTATCATCCATGCAAGTTTGTTCCACACAGAGCTCAAAGTTATTTGGAAATGAAACCTGTATAAAAAACTAACCTTTTCACTAATCCGGAAAATGTATGTCAGATTCAGCTTCTGAAGCCAGCCTAGTAGAATGCACCCTTAGATGTACCATCCATGCAAGTTTGGTCATTATAGGGCTCAAAGTTACTTAGAAATGAATCCTGCACCATAAACTTTAATCTGTTTACTCGTCCAGAAAATGTAGGTCAGATTCAGCATCCCAAGCAAGTCTGGTAGTATGCATCCTAAGATGTACCATCCAGGCAAGTTTAGTCATTATAGGGTTCATAGTACCTTGGAAATGAAACCTGCACCAAAAATTTTAACCTGTTCACTCAACCGGAAAATGTAGGTCAGATTCAGCATCAGAAGCAAGTCTTGTAATATGCATCCTAAGATGTACCATCCATGCAAGTTTGGTCATTATATGTCTCATAGTAACTTGGAAATGAAACCTGCACCAAAAACTTTAACCTGTTCACTCAACCGGAAAATGTAGGTTAGATTCAGCATCCGAAGCAAGACTGGTAGTATGCATCCTAAGATGTACCATCCATGAAAGTTTGTTCATTATAGGGCTCATAGAAACTTGGAAATGAAACCTGCACCAAAAACTTTAACCTGTTCTCTCAACCAGAAAATGTAGGTCAGATTCAGCATCCAAAGCAAGTCTAGTAGAATGCATCCTAAGATGTACCATCCATGAAAGTTTGGTCATTATAGGGCTCATAGTATCTTCGAAATGAAACCTGCACCAAAAACTTTAACCTGTTCACTCAACCGGAAAATGTAGGTCAGATTCAGCATCCGAAGCAAGTCTGGTAGTATGCATCCTAAGATGTACCATCCATGTAAGTTTGGTCAACATAGGGCTTATAGTTACTCGGAAATGAGACCTACACCAAAAACTGCACCAAAAATGTTAACCTGCACCAAAAACATTAACCTGGTCATTCCTTTGCTGAAATTGCAGCATCTGAAACTTTGACTGGTACAATGAAACACATTAGAAACATCTTCCATGCATGTCTAATCAATATAGGACATAGAAGTACTTAAAAAGAAAACTGCTCCAAAAAACTTAACCTTAACCCGGGATGCCGACGCCGACGGTATCACATAAGCTCCCCCCAACTTCGTTGAGGTGAGCTAAAAAGGCGAAAATAACACAGGGCAAAAATAACCCTGTATACAGTACTGTTAGATGGACCATTACCTTGCCCCAGTTACTCATGTCTAGATAGGTGTCTGTGGGGGTCTTTGGAATGTGTAGTTTACCCACGTAGAAGGAGGGTGTAGTCAGGTTACCATTCACAAAAGGTTTGTCCCTACAATGTGACGAATGTGTACAATAATGAGATCAAACAGAACTGAAATACATATACATCATATATTTTATTTGGTGTACACATTAGAAATATGAACCAAGTTTTGTATAATTATTTCAATGTGAACACATTATTCAACATAGAACAGTCATTTTCTATGAATTTAACATTTAAATGTGAATACAAAACTTGACTCTACTGTTTAACCAAAAAAATAAAAACTGTTGAAAACAAAATGGCCAGTAAAATGTACAGCAAAGTATTAAGTAATACATAAAATAAACAAAGTCTTTGCTGGTTTGTAGTTTTGTGTTCCTTCATATCATTTACCTTAGATCCCAGTCAGACTTGTATTTACCTATAAATTCCAGTCAGACCTATATTTACCTATAAATCCCAGTCAGACCTATATTTACCTATAAATCCCAGTCAGACTTATATTTACCTATAAATCCCAGTCAGACCTATATTTACCTATAAATCCCAGTCAGACTTATTTACCTATAAATCCCAGTCAGACTTATATTTACCTATAAATCCCAGTCAGACTTATATTTACCTATAAATCTCAGTCAGACTTATATTTACCTATAAATCCCAGTCAGACCTATATTTACCTATAAATCCCAGTCAGACTTATATTTACCTATAAATCCCAGTCAGACTTATATTTACCTATAAATTCCAGTCAGACCTATATTTACCTATGAATCCCAGTCAGACCTATATTTACCTATAAATCCCAGTCAGACCTATATTTACCTATAAATCCCAGTCAGACTTATATTTACCTATAAATCCCAGTCAGACCTATATTTACCTATAAATCCCAGTCAGACTTATATTTACCTATAAATCCCAGTCAGACCTATATTTACCTATAAATCCCAGTCAGACTTATATTTACCTATAAATCCCAGTCAGACCTATATTTACCTATAAATCCCAGTCAGACCTATATTTACCTATAAATCCCAGTCAGACCTATATTTACCTATAAATCCCAGTCAGACCTATATTTACCTATAAATCCCAGTCAGACTTATTTACCTATAAATCCCAGTCAGACTTATATTTACCTATAAATCCCAGTCAGACTTATTTACCTATAAATCCCAGTCAGACTTATATTTACCTATAAATCCCAGTCAGACCTATATTTACCTATAAATCCCAGTCAGACCTATATTTACCTATAAATCCCAGTCAGACCTATATTTACCTATAAATCCCAGTCAGACCTATATTTACCTATAAATCCCAGTCAGACTTATATTTACCTATAAATCCCAGTCAGACTTATATTTACCTATAAATCCCAGTCAGACTTATATTTACCTATAAATCCCAGTCAGACTTATATTTAGCAATAAATCCCAGTCAGACTTATATTTACCTATAAATCCCAGTCAGACTTATATTTACCTATAAATCCCAGTCAGACTTATATTTACCTATAAATCCCAGTCAGACTTATATTTACCTATAAATCCCAGTCAGACTTATATTTACCTATAAATCCCAGTCAGACCTATATTTACCTATAAATCCCAGTCAGACTTATATTTACCTATAAATTCCAGTCAGACTTATATTTACCTATAAATCCCAGTCAGACCTATATTTACCTATAAATCCCAGTCAGACCTATATTTACCTATAAATCCCAGTCAGACTTATTTACCTATAAATCCCAGTCAGACCTATATTTACCTATAAATCCCAGTCAGACTTATAGATTCCAGTCAGATTTATATTTACCTTAGATCCCAGTCAGATTGAAATCCCAGTCAGACTTATATTTACCTATAAATTCCTGTCAGACTTGCTGGTTTGAAGTTCTCAATGGTCAGTGGATAAATAAGCCATCCAGTTAACAGAGAACCACCAAATGTTACATTCTTGATCAGACCCTGAAAAAAAATCCTAATGCATATATTGAATGCTTTGTTTGGCATTGTTTTACACTTGTAAACTGTATCAGGGTTATAATTAGTACAGACAGCTGCCAGAATTGCTTTGTAAAATGTTCATTTTATCCACTTAATGACACCATTACCAATTCTCCCTTAACAGTTTCTTTAACTTTTCTTTTCAGTTTACATAGTTGTATTTATGTCATTTGCCCCCAAGTCATGTGACCTGTACTAAAACTTGTTTTCACTTCTAAAGAGTTCCGACTGTTCTAAAATGGTCCTAGTACATACCTTGGAATTATTGTTCATCTCTGATCCAAATCCAATATGGCCCATGTTCTCCACCAGGATGTCTATGGTTTGATTCACCTTCAGGGTTATATTTATTGTCTGCTGTCCATTACGATCAAACACACCTTGGGGTACCTGTCCACAGAGAAATATTGCAATTACATTTTAACCTATTATCACATCTAGGGAGTGGTCAAGATCATAGCAGCTAATAGCTTTATAAAGCTACAATCTTGAATGATATATGCTTGGCTATCTGCTACAAAAGGAATTTATTATACTTTAATCAATGAACAGTTAACATTATAAGACTGAGTGGTAATTAAATACTGTCGATTAACACTCTCTCTAAACTACAAAACATGCTCATGTACATATTTACCTGATTTATCATGAGATAGGCCCGGTCCCGAACCCCAGAAAGGTCCAGTGTTTTGGGTTCAGAAGGAGTGTCCCCCAGAAGAGTGTGTCTGTATAACACAAAGCCTTGATACTGAAATCAGAAAACAACATGGTCTTTGTCACTAATGTCATAATTAGTAATAACTGTGATTTAACTTATTAGTTGTCAATCACTTTCCTGACTCATTGCATATACATGTAATATGGTTATGAGCCATAAATTGTATTATTATGAAAATAAATGATTATCAGTTTCCAATTTTGAGATAACCCCTCAATAAATACCTGACTTATTGCCTCCATTGTAAGTGGATACTGTGATTTGATTGGTCCTTTTGGACAAAGGGTCTCCAGAGCATCCTGATAAGTGGCCATCTGTAAAGAAATTAGTAATGTTAATAATTACAGTCTTATATAATAAGTATTAGTACAGTCAAACACTGTTATCTCAGACTCTGTAGAACCGAAAAAATACAAGATATATAAGGATTCAAAACATCAAGGGTAATAACAGTTGGGACTTCCAAATCAGTTTGACACCTCCAAGGTAATCCAGACAATGGTGCTCAAGATACTTATGTTCAACTGTAATTAGAATTTCTACTGTGGGGAGAGAGAGAGAGAGAGAGAGAGAGAGAGAGAGAAGTACAAAGTACACTACTTACAAAGCTCATCTCCACTTTTCCGTATGCTGTTTTTGTAGTGTTTTGTGGAATTGGCATATCTGGAAGTTGCTTATACTGAAAAGAGACAAAATGAAACTTTAATAAAACTAGAATGTGCATACATAAATATAAATAAACTTATAATTGTATCCTGTTTGAAATTAAAACCAATCTCTGATCACAGTAAAAAATTCTAAGTCTTCAGACATTTGATTCCAAAGAATACAAACTTTTCATAAAGGGTACCTGGTAATTGCAAATTTTCATCATTTGAAAAATTAAAAAGTAGTAGGGATTTCGGGGTTCTTCCCCAAAGAAGGGACTGAAGGAGAATTTCACAGATTACATCTTTATTTGGGGAGGAGGAATTCATCCATGGGTCTTACAGAGATCTTACCTCAGATGTAATAACAAAGAGTAATGAAAAGATAATAGAAACAGGCCAGGTTACTATTTATAGATACTGACCTTGGAAATAACCTGCCTAATGGCAATGTATTTATCAGTTATGTCCCCTGCCTCTGACATTGGTGCATCGTAATCATAACTCGTAGGTACAGCTTGGAAGGGGGCGTAATTTGCTCCTGTGGATTAGAAAATATAGAAATGAACATTGGTCCTTCTAAAATCAGGAAAACATTTATTTCCAATCCTAAAAGTTAGGTACATTCTCAACATTATGTAATTGTAGTCTACTTGTGTGCCAAGTTTATACTTAAAACAAAGGAAGAAAAAAAGTAGCAGTTGGGATTTGAAACTTTAAAACAGCAATAAATAGAAAAATGATCCTTGCCGCTCATAAAAATAAAAACCGATGCATAGAATTATGTATCTTAGTATAGTCTACTTGTGTGCCAAGTTATATTGAAATCGGACCAAAACTGTAGGAGGAGTAGCATTTTGAAATTTCACAGAAATTTCTATTTTTAGTAACCATGGCAACACCGTTCATCAAAATCAAAAACCGATGCACAGAATTATGTATCTTAGTGTAGTCTACTTGTGTGCCAAGTTATACTGAAATCAGACCAAAACTGTAGGAGGAGTAGCATTTTGAAAGAATTTCACAGAAATTTCTATTTTTAGTAACCATGGCAACACTGTTCATCGAAATCAAAAACTGATGCACAGAATTATGTATCTTAGTGTAATCTACTTGTGTGCCAAGTTATATTGAAATCGGACCAAAACTGTAGGAGGAGTAGCATTTTGAAAGAATTTCACAGAAATTTCTATTTTTAGTAACCATGGCAACATCGTTCATCAAAATCAAAAACTGATGCACAGAATTATGTATCTTAGTGTAATCTACTTGTGTGCCAAGTTATATTGAAATCGGACCAAAACTGTAGGAGGAGTAGCATTTGAAAGAATTTCACAGAAATTTCTATTTTTAGTAACCATGGCAACAACGTTCATCGAAATCAAAAACTGATGCACAGAATTATGTATCTTAGTGTTATCTACTTGTGTGCTAAGTTATACTGAAATCGGACTAAAACTGTAGGAGGAGTAGCATTTTGAAAGAATTTCACAGAAATTTATATTTTTAGTAACCATGGCAACAACCTTCATTGAAATCAAAAAACCAATGCACAGAATTATGTATCTTAGTGTAGTCTACTTGTGTTAAGTGATATTGAAATCAAAACAAAACTGTAGGAGGAGCAGCATTTTGAAAGCATTTCACAGAAATTTCTATTTATAGTAACCATGGCAACATCGTTCATTGAAATTAAAAACCAATGCACAGAATTATATATCCTAGTATAGTCTACTTGTGTGCCAAGTTATATTGAAATCGGACCAAAACTGTAGGAAGGGTAGCATTTTGAAAACTTGTTTACAGACAGACAGACGGACAGACAGACAGATGGACGCATTACTATCGCATAAGCTCTTCTGGTCTCTGACCAGTAGAGCTAAAAATCATGGATTGCAAAAGAATTACATTTGCTTGGATCTTATTTCACAACTATTATATTTTATTTTTAAAATATACGGTATTCATGATAGATGTATAACTACAGTCATGGACATTATTAATGCATGGATTCATGGTTAGACTGGGTACAAAAAAATAATCCCAAATAAAGTATTCTTACACAACTGAACCAACACACATTTCAGTAAATATAATACACTCAGTCTAACGCAGTTAACTGTTCAGATTCTGCATACCAACAGGCTACAAGCTTAGGAATGGTTGGGTTTCAAAGGGGGGGGGATTCAAAAGGAAGGTAACATCTTAACTTTAAAAGGTTAAATTACAATATCTTCAAATATAAGCCAGATCTAAATGACATTTCTTAGAGAAATCACATCAATCTCTACCTTAGTCTTTATATGATAGATAAAAGGGAAAGGGGTTTGTAATTTTCCAATGAATGCTTAAGTTTAGCACAAGATTTCTTTTTAGTCACAGGAACTTATGCCCAAAACTTTCTTCATATTATAAAATACATGGTAATTGAAATTTCCATACATTTATAAGCAAAAATATAAACAGCACTCATATACAAATGCAAGACATCATTAACTTTTTAGGATAAAAATCATTGCTCAGTACTACAGCACTGAAATAGCTATGAAACTATACATAATACACTGTATAAATTAAAAAATGAGCATGCCTTTTAATGTATGTTTATAATTACTGTAATAACACCTGAATTTATTAACTTCTTTGCATTTGAACTTGCATCATAATCTGCACCTGTGTTGGAAAATTCACAAAAAGAAATTTTACCTTGTCAAGACATTTAGTATACCCCTGATAGCAAAATAAATGGAGTCTGTTTTGGAGGGTAGCAGTTGAAATTGACCCCTTGGAAAACCCTAGTTAACCTCCGCTGATGCGTCAGTGGACAATTGATGGTTTTTCTTGGGGTGTCAAAGTCAATCTACTCTTCAAAACCATAGGAGTATAAAGTTTTTATCGTTTAAAAAAAAAAAATCCGGAAAAAAATTGCACACTCTCAACTAAACAATAGGCCCATGGGCCTTATAGGTCACCTGAGTATTGGGTAACAACTTTCAAACAATTAAATTTGGTTCGTGTTTTAAACCAGAGGCCATGAAATTCACAATTCACAATTTTGAAAGAGGCACCATTGCTTATAATAATTATTAACTTAGCATGCTTACTCTATTTACTTAATACCCAGAGGTAGATCAGAGTAACAAAGAGAAAATGAACTTCCACTTTTACCCAGTTGTGCACCTCACCCAAAAGAAACCACTGACCCAGGGGCCACATATTTAAAAATTTTGCAAATTTTATCATAAAATGGTTTATTAATACCAAAGACCAGATTTCAAAGCAATAATTTATTTTCAGACTATATAATCCTCCCCCCCCCCCCCCCCCCGCTGACCCAGGGGGCATAAAAAAACACTTTGCTAGATGTACCTTTCTTCATTATCAATATATATGTAAGACTATAAAAAGTGCGATGGTGACGCCAAAGTCCGATGGTCTCTCCAAACCCCAATGGTCTGCACCAGACCCAGATGGCTCGGTGTCTTTACGGACGCCAAAGTCCGATGGTCACATCAAAGTCCGATGGCTCATTTCCTATGAGACAAGTTGCACAAAAGTGTGATGGTCTGACATGCCAAAGTCCGATGGTGCAGATGAACAATCAACGTTTATCATGTCACACTAGTCCGACGTCATGACGTTATCATGCATTCAAAATCCATTGATTTAGTATTTGTCTCGCATACAATTTTACTGATTTTGCTTATTGTTTTTGCCCACCAGAGCCATTAGGGTTAGTCCTTGTACACCATTCGACTGATAAGGGTTAGTTCTTGAACACCAATGTGTTTCTTTGAACTCACCCGAGAGATTTTATGGTTAGTCCTCGCACACTATTGGACTGATTTGGGTTAGTCCTGCACCCATCCAAGATATCTAGCTTATAGTTGTTACACATTTTTCGACGTCATAAGTGTTAGTCTCGCACCTATATCCAAAAAATTAGGGTTAATCTTTGCATCGAATATTTATTTGTATTTATTTCAAACAATCAGGCCTTAGCATGGCACGGCATCGCATTTCTGCGCAGTGGCACCATGACGTCATAAATGTTAATTGTTTTCCGCACCATCGGATTTTGGCGTGTCAAACCATCGGGGTTTGGCGCAGACCATCGGACTTTAGCGTGACCATCGGACTTTGGAGTCCCATTGCACTTTGGAGTCCTACATATATACTTGGATCATTGGCATAAAACCCAGAAGCAATGGAAAATATTTTCAAAGAATTAATGTATTTTTACTATATAATCAATAGAGCCCTGCCTTAACACCATAATCCCTAACCCTGGGGCCATAAAATTCAAAATTTTGGAAGAGGCACTCTTGCTCATCATAACTATGCACTTAGTTAGTTTATTTAATACCCAGAAGCAGAGAAGAAGATTTTCAAAGAATAAATGCATTTTCACTATACAATCAATAGAGCCCCACCCTAACACCAGAACCCCTGACCCTGGGGTCATTAAATTCACAATTTTGGAAAAGGCACTCTTGCTTATCATAACTATGTGCTTACTTATTTTATTTAATACTCAGAAGCAGAGAAGAAGATTTTCAAAGAATAAATGCATTTTCACTATATAATCAATAGAGCCCCACCCTAACACCAGAACCCCTGACCCTGGGGTCATTAAATTCACAATTTTGGAAAAGGCACTCTTGCTTATCATAACTATGTGCTTACTTATTTTATTTAATACCCAGAAGCAGAGAAGAAGATTTTCAAAGAATAAATGCATTTTCACTATATAATCAATAGAGCCCCGCCCTAACACCATAACCCCTGACCCTGGGGCCATAAAATTCACAATTTTGGTAGAGGCACTCTTGCTCAACATAACTATGTACTTAGTTAGTTTATTTAATACCCAGGAGCAGAGAAGAAGATTTTCACAGAAATAATGCATTTTCACTATATAATCTATATAGCCCTGCCCTAGCACTAGAACCCCTGAATCTAAGGCCATGAATTTCACAATTTTGGTAGAGGACTCAATGCTCATAACATTCATGCCAACAGTTTGCCTGCTTAATGTCCAGGAGTAAAGAAGAAGATTTCTAAAGATTGCAATAATTTTAGTGGTTTTGGTCCCACCCTCAGGCCCCAGGGGGAGGGGACCATGAAATTCATAATTTTTGTTCCCCTTCACCCATAGATGCTGTATACCAAATTTGGTTGAAATCGGTTCAGTGGTTTCAGAGAAGAAGCTGAAAATGTTCAAATGTTAACACACGACGACAGACGAATACGGATAGCAATTGGTCACCTGAGTAACTCAGGTGACCTAAAAAGTGAGGGTGGGAAATTTTTTTCCGGATTTTTTTTTTTTTTACGATAAAAACTTCAGACTCCTAAGCCAAAACAGACACCCTTTGAACATATATACAAGAGGCCCATGGGCCTTATAGGTCACCTGAGTATCATGGGACAACTTTCCAACAATTGAATTTGATTCATGTTTTAAACTAGCGGCCATGAAATTCACAATTTTGAAAGAGGCTCCATTGCTTATCATAAATATACACTCACTCACTCAGCATGCTTATTTTGGTTACTTAATACCCAGAGGTAGATCAGAGTAACAAAGAGAAAATGCATTTCCACTTTTTAAAAAATTTTATTTCATCATGCTGTTGATTAATACCAAAGTGAAGATTTCAAAATTTATGTTAAACCCCCCCCCCCCCCTCAAGTACCTTTGTCCCAGGGGCCAGGAAATTAATCATTTTTGGAAGAAGCAGGTTTTTTGTCATGAATATATACTAAGATCATTGGCATTATACCTAACAACTAAGGAAAAGATTTTCAAAGAATTCATGCATTTTCACTATATAAACATTAGAGCCCCGCCCTAACAAAAGAAGCCCTAACCCAGGGAACCTGAAATTCAAAAATCTTAAAGAGGCATCCTTCCTCCTCATAAATATGTACATAGTTCATTGGTAAAATACTCAGTGCACAAAAGAAGAGTTTAAAAGAATTTATGCATTTTCATTATATAATCAATATTATTATACTTCTGTTAAAATGTTTCCTATATAAAGTTAAAAAGGTAAAACAACTATCTTTGATAGTTCACGCATAGCAAAGCTATACCCCAGGGTATAGTTTTTGCTATCCACCCTCGGAAAATTTTCATGCAATTTTTGCCTCCAATTTTGATTTCCAGCGATAAATCTATTGACTGATGATGTCATAATGACTTCAGTAGCATTGTGACGTCATCAGGATTTCAGATTATTCTTGCAGTATTATCTTACTCCAAAAATTCAAACCTCAGAAATTCTATTATACATCAGTATAATAAAACGCTTATCCACTTATCCACTATATGCACTTGGTTAGTTTATTTAATGCCAACAAACAGAAAAGAAGAATTTCAAAAAAATTATGCATTTTCACTATATAATCTATATAGCCCTGCCCTGGCACTAGAACCCCTGACCCTGGGGCCTTGAAATTCACAATTCACAATTTTGGAAAAGGCAGTCATTTTCAACTAACCTATGCACTTGGTTAGTTTATTTAATGCCCAGGAGCAGAAAAGAAGAATTTCAAAGAAATAATGCATTTTCACTACATGTATATAACCTGTTTAGCCCCGCCCTAGCACTAGAACCCCTGACCCTGGGGCCATGAATTTCACAATTTTGGTAGAGGACTCAGTGTTGATTACAATCATACCAACAGTTTGCCTGCTTGATGTCCCGGAGTAAAGAAGAGGATTTTTAAAGATTGCACTAATTTTAGTGGTTTTGGCCCCACCCCTCAGGCCCCAGGGGGGCAGGGACCATGAAATTCACAATTTTGTTTCCCTTCACCCATAGATGCTATATGCCAAATTTGGTTGAAATTGGTTCAGTGGTTTCAAAGAAGAAGCTAAAAAAGTTCAAATGTTAATGCACGACAAACAACGACGGATGAAAACAGATAGCAATAGGTTACCTGAGTTTACTCAGGTGACCTAAAAATTGTGGTATGAATGATACACTGGTTATACAATATGTATTAACATCTGGCAGAAATTTATATGTAAATACATTTCACTATAGGTGTATTTCTTTGTTATTAAAATCTAGCTAGCAGAAATTTGTAAATATACCGTATAAGTAGAATTTTTAGTGAGGATTTAATTTTGGCATTATTAGCGAGGGTGCCAAGATCGCTAAAATTGAATATCGCTAAAAATTAATTGCGTTTTATTTCTAATAGCTACTTAAATGTGCATTTTAAAATCGCTAAATTAACATCTCACTAAAAATAAATTACCTGTTTTTAAGGACAAATCGCTAAATTTGCGTATCGCTAAAATTTCCACTTATACGGTATATTAATACATGTGTATTTGTTTGTTAATTAATGATAAGAAGAGATTACCATTCCAGAAGCCGAAGTTTGTTCCTCCTTCAAACATGTACCTGTAAGATGAAGAAAAATCACTTTAATTCATACAAAAAATGTAATTTCATTTGTAATCATATGAAGTTAAAAAGGACCCTTTATTCAAAACTTTTAAGATTTCAATAACTGAGGTATTTTCGAATCTTTGTGCAACATTGAAGGGTAAATAACTAAATGATGAAATATACTTTTGCTGGAGAAACATTAAATCAATGGAGTTCAATTTTAAGGGACAGAATGCTGAAATTTTTAAGAAAGGATAGGGATCAGAAGTCTAGAATTACTTCCCCTTACTCACATGTTGACATTGGCGCCATAATCAAGCAGCATGTCCAGAGCCTTAGAGAAGATGTCCAGATTGACCGTAGAGTGGGGGTACCCCCAGTGATCCAGCCAGCCAGGGTAAAACTCAGAATTAACCTTAAATATATATCAAGAATTATATAAGTATTCATATTAAGGCTTTGTTCATTACTTTTCTAACATCTGTATTACACCAAACAGTTGCTGAATAATAGAAATTCCTTGAGAGCCGAGAGTTAATTTTCAGTTATTACTTACTAAAGGCCCAAATGGTTCATAGTCCCTCTGTGGTTGAAATGCCTTCTGAGGATTGACTGAGAAACATTAAAAAATGACAATACATTGTACGACAGTTAAATGAATTATATCATTGTGTTCATCAACAAATCCTTAGATGTAAGCTGTATATATTCTTAATCTTTTTCATTCATTTAATTTTCTGGGTCTTTTTTCTTCATGAATTTCAACTTTTATCATTTAACTAATTCATTTAATTAAACATGGATAAAATTTAAAAGATGAGACAAAAATGTTTCTTATTTTCCATATCCATTATTTACAATTTGTATGTTAACATAGAATGTCAGAAGCATAGAAATATAAATAGCAAAGCAATAAAAAGCGGAAAGTGTTGATAACCAATACAGCTAAACTTTAGCATCTCAAATGTAGCAAAAACGGACAAATTGAATTTTACAGAGATTCAAATGATAATTAAAAAGATTAACTGAGAAATGTTATAGGTAATGACACATCACAGTTTGAGATGTCAAAGTCTAATTTGTGGTTTTTTGCAGAATGTGAGAAGAAATCAAACTTTTCAAAAAATTGCAGCTGTACATGAATCAGTAGGTAATTTTTGAATATATGAAATGACATGAAAAATCTGTGAAGCTATACTCCTGATGATTAAGAACGCATCTTCAGTTAAATCTTACGTGTATTCCCAAAATCTACTGTGGCATAGGCTCCTGCCACTGTGCCACATTTAAGGAATGAATCTGCACCCCCATCAGTGGTGTATAACAGAGCCCGGGGGCCCAGGTGTTCCCGGGCTTTGTCCCTCAGGTGAGCCATGTAGTCATGGTCACAGGCAAAGTAGCTGCCATATTCATTCTCAATCTGTAAGTACACAAATGTCAACCTCCATCAATAAGGTCAAGCGGGGTCAAACCATAATCTACTCAGCTCAGAGATTATTGGAGCTTTCTAACAAATTTTGAATCTGGTATGGATCAGGTTTATGAAAAGGACTTTATCAAGATAGAATATATCATTCATATAATTTATATGTCAGTAGCTTTTTGCAGTTGGTATTTGGGGAAAATGGTGTGTGATGGTCGGGTCATGATGGCATTTGGTCAGACAGCTTAGTCGGTTGAGCACCCTGTCTAAAATTTTAGAGTTCTAGGTTTAAATCCTCCTGTCTGTAGCATTCTTTTCCTTGTTACATTTGGTCCATTGCAATGCCCTGGAAGAGTCTGGTGATTGATATATTCCAACTGAAAGTACACTCTGGGTTGGTGTCTTGGGGGTAAGTCAATTTTAAAGAGGGATGATTGTGGCAGTCATGTATTGATAGCTAGATAAATAACTCAGTGGTAGAGCTCCAGAATAGAAGGGTCCAGATTCAAAGCCTGGTTTGATCCATCACATTTTTCCCTTCTTGTCACAAGTGGAATGTTTCCAAACCAAATCAACGTGTTGACAGATTCATATTTACTAATACATCAGGAAATACAACGTTACTGCAAAGGTGCAGATACACTTAACAAATATGTTTTCTTATTGTGTTCCAGACATTTAAAGCCATCTGTACCATTTACTTCTTTTTGCAAGGACTATTTAAAACAATTACTATACATGTTCTACTGATCATGCAAGCTGCAATTTTTATCAAATGTTTGCAGTGTTTTCAACCCATTCCTAGAGATAATATTCTAGCCTTGATCATTCAATGCAATAAGAAAAGACAGAAGAAATATTCCTTGATACAATATGGTCTACATGCAAATTCTAAAACATAGAGGTTTCACATAAATATCTTTGTACTAGCATCACATAGTGCTTCACAGTCACACATGAATTTCAAATGATTCACTAAATTGGTAGTTTAATTCACATAAAAGCAACAAGTGTGAGAATAAATTATATGAATTTTCATGTGAGGTTCATTTGCTAATTGTACAGAAAGAAAGAATTACAGTTCTGTCTCATTGAAAAAAGTTAGTGGATTATCCTGGAAAGAAGCGAGGAAAGGAGAAAAAACTTGACACAAATAATTCTCACAGAAAAGAGTGACCCCAAAATCTGTTGTGGCGTAGGCCCCGGGGGTAGGGCCACATTCAAAGTTGGACTGTAGGTCCCCATCTGTGGTATAAATTATGGCCCTGGGCCCCAGAATCTTCCTGGCCTTGATAAACAGGTGGGCCATATAGTCATGGTCACACGCAAAGTAACTACCATACTCATTCTCAATCTGTAATATTACCATGACAACCAAAATAGGGGTGATAACAATTTCATGTGTAGAAAAGATCATTGGAGAAAATAGTGTACAGGAGGCAGACTTAAAAAAAAAATTTTTATTGCTATATGAATCCATAGAATTTCTTTGCAAGGAGGTTTAGAATTTTGATTACCGATATTATCCTTCAAAATTACACAGTCAATCTGATTGGCTTAGAGCAGGTCATGTGAAGAGACAATTCGTGATGTCTCCATCACATGCAGGGTGATAACTGTATTGTCTCCCTTCAATGGACATAAAAATAGCCCAAACGAGCATGAGGATGACAATGGTGACTTCTGAGACTTGGTCCTCATAGTTCATATGATGAGAGAGAGAGAAAGAGAGTCCTGGCTTTACCTGCACCATCAGCACCGGTCCCCCATTTTCATACAGAAGAGGAGTCAGCATTGGCAGCAATTTGTCCATCCAGATGTCCACATATTTGATATAAGCTGTAAGACGACAGGTAAGTTCATCTCAATTATCATAGAAATGTACATGTATGCAGAACATTTATCCATAAATTAGTTGTGATAAAGCTCATACAATACAATTTGCAACTATATTCATCAACTAACCCCATACATCAAGAAATTGTGGGTTAAGTGTAATATGAAAATTAATCATGATCTATTGTGACAAAAATTAATAATTAACTTCCGCAATTAAACTAGTGTTTCATTCATTTTCAGCATCATGTACTACTTTGTTGCAAGTATGGCAGGAGCCTGCCAGTAAAGAGGATGTGGATGGAATTTATTTCCAAATACCTGATACAGTAAAACTCGTTTAATGCAAACACGGATACAGTGAATTCACGGATATAGTGAAGTTTTTGTTGGTCCCCGGCAAAATTATTAACAAATCTTTGTAAAATTTTACGGTTATAAAGAACTCTGATATAACGAGTTTACGGAGATAGCAAACTGATTTTGAGTCCCGTTGAAGTTAGTTATAATGATATTTACATCTTTTATAACGAACTCTCAGAGATTATTAAAAAAAATGATAAACTGAACTAACCTTATTTCCTTTTAGCATTTGAATATAAGATTCAATTCATAATACAAGAGGCCCATGGGCCACATCGCTCACCTGAGAAGCTTTGACCATTCTGTTCTTTACCAGATTTCCCCCTTAATACATAATGCATCCCCACCCTACCCCACTGATCATAATTTAGACATTTGAAATCTACACTACCCCATGATCCTTCCATGTGCACATAAGTTTCAGCTTTTCTGGCCTAGTGGTTCTTGAGAAGAAGATTTTCAAAGATTTTTCCTATATATTTCTATGTAAAACTTTGATTCCCCATTGTGGCCCCGCCCTTCCCCCGGGGGTCATGATTTTAACAATTTAGAATCTACACTACCCTAGGATGCTTCCACATAAGTTTCAGCTTTTCTGGCCCACTGGTTCTTCAGAAGAAGATTTTCAAAGATTTGGATGCTTCCACATAAGTTTCAGCTTTTCTGGCCCTGTGGTTCTTGAGAAGAAGATTTTCAAAGATTTTTCCAATATATTTCTATGTAAAACTTTGATTCCCCATTGTGGCCCCGCCCTTCCCCCAGGGGTCATGATTTTAACAATTTAGAATGTACACTACCCTAGGATGCTTCCACATAAGTTTCAGCTTTTCTGGCCCAGTGGTTCTTGAGAAGAAGATTTTCAAAGATATATATTTCTATGTAAAACTTTGATTCCCCATTGTGGCCCCGCCCTTCCCCCGGGGGTCATGATTTTAACAATTTAGAATCTACACTACCCTAGGATGCTTCCACATAAGTTTCAAGCTTTTCTGGCTCAGTGGTTCTTGAGAAGAAGATTTTTTAATGACCCCACCCTATTTTTGTCTTTTCTTGATTATCTCCCCTTGTGAACTTGGCCCTTTATTTTAAAAATTTAAATTTCCCTTCAACCAAGGATGCTTTGTACCAAGTTAAGTCAAAATTGGCCCAGTGGTTCTTGAGAAAAAGTCGAAAATATGAAAAGTTTACAAAATGTGATCAGAAAAGCTCACTTGAGCCTTCGGCTCAGGTGAGCTAAAAACCTTAGTTACTTAAGATATGTTTAGTAATAGCGAGCGCAGCGAGCGTCGCGAAGCGACGCTCGCGAAGTGAGCTCAATAGATTAAGAACAGAGGAAATTCGGATTGAAATCTGTACATACGTCAGCCAAATTTCTCTGTGCAACATTCCCAGAATTCCTGCACTACCCAATGTCCTTTGCGCGAATATTGCCGAATAAATAAATAAATAATAACGTAAAGCATATATCAGACTTTCAGTTTGTAGAAATCTTTCAAAGAAACAAGAAATAACTCTGCAATGTTTTTCGACAAAAATTGCACTTGTTTTATAGTTTCAAACAGACGCTCGGCTGTCTCCGTAAGCTCCGACGAGCTTTGTGACGTCGTATGACGTCACAGCTAGTCGAGATATCTCGTGCGGCTTGACTTAATTTTCGAAGTGGCTGATCTCAAGTGTTTTTGATGGTACAACTGCGCTCGCCCCAACGGTCACACCGTAAAACATATTATTTGCTTCCCTAACATATTTAGTAGTAATAATTGAAGGAAAGCATGCATATTGCAAATTCGCTATAATGGTTATATGAGTTCGTTATACGGATATAACAAATTATGGATATAGTGAATTAAATTCATAGGTCGCAGGGACTTCACTATAACCGAGTTTTACTGTATACTCTGAATGAAATTTAATTGGCGTCCATATAGAATAAACTATTATAATTATTTATAAATATATAAAATTATATCTTTTTACTTGGTTCCATTTTTCTGAACACCATCATTGGATCTTCCTTCAGAAGCCATGCTGGGAATCCTCCCTGTAATAAAAACAACAATGAATTAATTCTACAAATATGGCACACTCATTCTCCAGTAGAAATAAATAATAAAGGAGCATAACATCACTTGTTAATTATGTAGTCATATATATTATACAATAATATTTGTAGGCTTTTTAATATCACAGCCAGATATCAACTGTATAATGCAGACATTTTAATGCTCTTACAAAGTCCCACTCTCCACAGATGTATGGACCTGCTCGAAGAAGAACCAGTAAACCCACTTCCTGTGCCGTCTTTATAAATTGTACGAAATCTTTCTGTCCATCAAAGTCATACTGGCCTTTCTCTGGTTCATGGAAGTTCCATGGGATGTAACTAGAACAAACACAAATAAACATACATACAAATTACATATATATAATATAATGATTCATTGTAAATGTCAGGTCTGCACATCCATTCTAAAGGGAAAGGGCATAAACATGTACAGACCATAATGTTCACTTATGAAATCTGACCCTTCTGTTAATGACAGTCTGATTAAAACCAGCCCCCTTCTCCTGGTTTTAATCAGACTGTGTTAATGAGAACAAGATTCTATAAAAATTCTCTTTATTTCAGTCAAGAATTTGACCTCTTGTTGTGGTTCCATCCCTACCATTAAGGGGCCAAGATTTGGACATTTAAATTTAAACTGCATGCATGTATGTTTTTCTTACGGTCTTAAAATTTGAAAAAAATTAGATATTTACACATTATGATATCAATTACACACTTTCTCTTTTAACCAGACCAAAAATACTTAGAAGATGGCTGTTTAATTATCTTACAACTGAACAGCATCCAGCCCTGCTGCATACATCTTCATCAGCCTATCTTTCCAGTATTCTTTAGGAACCCTCATGTAATGAATACTCCCCGATATATAACGAAAACTCTTGCCATCTTTAACAAAAGTGTTCCCCAGGTAGTCAATTTCAAATGTTCTGTTCTGTGCCTACAATAAAAGTCACAATATTCAGTTTACATGGTTTGTGTGAGAGCCATTGAACCGATGTGCAGTGTCTGGATTTGAACTTTACTATTTCATCACTTAAACGTTTGTGAAAAAAATCACACAAATCCAAATACAAAAATGAATATGTGATTAAACCACACTAACCGTCTACAGTAGAAATAAGATTTCCATGGTTCTGCATTTTCACGAGTTTCACATTTAAACTTTAGCTTTATTGATCTAACAAAATTTGGTTTGGTCATGTACATGTGTTCACCTTGCCATTCTGATGCATAATGTTCATTGATTTTTAAAGCCTAAGTGACGATGTAACAGTGTATAATCCACAGGCACTTGTTTGTTTACGGGGTACCCTATTCTCTTTAGAGAAGTGGACAGGCTTTCGCCTACATTCACTTCTCTTCACAGGCCGTCATGTTGTTATTCTGGAAAATACGGCCTACACTTGGCGAGAGCTTGTCTACTTCTCTAAAGAGAATAGGGGTACCCCATACTTATTCTTACCACAAGGTACCTAACTCATTTTCAGACACCCTGCTTCAAGCTCGTATTTTGTTAATATATCAATCATTAACCTACTTTAAAATGACATTGTTTGCTTCAAAAGACTTCTTTTTTCTTGTCAGTTAAATCGTTTAGAAAAAAAGTCTTTTGAAGAGAACGATGAGTTAGATATCGTCTCGTATCCTATTTTCGACCGTATTGTATTTTCGACCTATTTTTCCAAATCTGTTTTCCGTGCAGATACCGCGCGTTAGAACATTATTTTCGGTTTCTACACTTGGAAAAATACCTTGTAAGCACAACTGTAGTAAAAATACCCAAAATAATTAATTCAACGGAATTCCCTAAGTGGTTTTAGTCCGATGTCAGAAATTCTAGTCTTTTTACTAATGCACATTTTATCTGTTGATTAATCAATGCCGTAATCGGTTAATGACAAAGATTTTTCGATGACATTTTCCCGAAAGAAAATTAAGATCTCTGTCAAAGGGACGCATGAATATTGAAATGAATGGGAGGATCAAACGAATTTTTTTTCTCTCTTAGATATGGGCACTTTCTTACAGATTTTTAATGAAAAATGCAACGTAATTTCATTGATTTCTTTTAAAAATGCTCAGCTCCTGACAAATGTGTTCAACCAACGAATAAATGTATTTTCAACTGAAATATGGAACTTGTTCAATGTTTTTTTGAAAGACAGACAATCGTATTTTTATTGTTTGGAATATTCAACGGATATTTCAAGCCAGTACTGTTTGGTCGTTGATATTATATTTAGGTCGAAAACACAAGACGTTAATATTTTTGTAGGTAAAAATGCACCTTCTCCATATTATGGCATATAAATAAAATAAACACAAAACTGCAATTTGGGATGTACAGTTTTATTCATAGACACATATGCTAATATTTTAAGCCCATAGTTTTTCAGCTTCTATAAAGTTTGCAATAAATTAATAAATTACATCTAAACAGGTCGAAAATACAATACGCCAGGATACCTTGTGGTAAAAATAAGTATGGGTGCCCCGAATATGAAACGACTATCTGTGGGATAATCTCTATTTTTGTGATTAATTAATTACCTGAGACGACTGAGGTATTGACATCAAACAGTAAAGAGAGCAAAACAACAGAAAAGACAGTCTCCACCTCCACTCGACAGCAGCCATTTTGCTTGTCATGTGATGACGCCTTTCATCATGTGACTAGCAATGAATGTGTAAAATATGACTCGGAATCTGCCCATAATCCGGAAAAGTTGAAGCACTTGGCATTTTTCAAACAATTTTAATAAAACAAAAATAAAAAAATCAATTAATTTGTAATACAGTATTCAATATCTTTGGTCAGTATGAAAACTAAATACATTAAATTCTCATTTACTTATGCATATGATATGTGTTTTAAATAATTTCCATATAGATCTCTGCATGACTGACTGAATCTTCGCTAGCCAAGGGTTTCCAATCCGAGGTATCGGATCGGAAACCCTTGGCTAGCGAAGATGGACTGACTGCTGCTAATCAATATCGAACATTGTAGAAAAAAACCTTATGTTTCCCTGTGTGTGGCCTTCCAGGTAAACATAAGGATATATTATTCTAAATCGCACAAATTCTAAATAAAGAGAAATCGTGTTGGTAATTTATTTTAGTTACTTGCACTGATTGAAAAAATTCTGTAATTGGGCATGTATCACGGGCACTGGAAGTTAGTGTAAATATATAGTATGTGTATGTATAAAAAAAAGACACATACTATTAATATATTTACACTAACTTCCAGTGCCCGTGGCATGTATAATGGAACTCATCAAGTAAATTTTCTTGTCCTTGCTAATTCAAAATACATGTACAAGCACTCAAAAGTTTCAAACTCCATACCGTATCAATTCTCCGGGACTACTTTCCCAACGAATAATGATATGGAGTTGTAGCGTAACGTAATGCTGAGCTGTCTGGAGCTTGCCAAAGTTGATATTCGTAATTCCAACTATCTGACGGAATTTCCATGGGTACTAATCGTGCCCTGTTGGTAGAAGACCTATTTCTGTATTTATATGAAGTAGAACTTATTCAAAAATATGTAAAGGATACTGCAATAATACAGCTCCCAACCTCTCTCTCTCTCTCTCTCTCTCTCTCTCTCTTGGAGAGGGCCCTCTCCAGAAAATATCAGATTAAAAAAATTGAGAGGGCGACTTTATTGCAACTATGTAAAGGAGAAAAATAAAATATTGAGATTTTTAGGGAGGGGAGGAGCGGATCATAATTAAACCCTTGGCTAGGGAAGATGGACAAAATTTAAGAAATGTAGACAAGATATTAATATCATCGCACCGTGTGACATCGGTCATGCTTTGGCCCCCTACATAGTATAGACAGAAATAAACAAATCTTCATATGAGGTCACTGGTTCAATTACACTGTGACGGTCTTGGTACTGTGACGGTAAAATAACTGGCAATTAAGAGTGAAACATATGGAGATAACGAACAGTATTCCAGCTAGATCGAAAGTCCATAAAACAATGCAAAATAGGAGCAGAGCAATCACGGACCACCAAAACATCAGAGGTGGGATCAGGTGCCATGGAGGAGTGAGCATCCCCTATCGACCGGTCACACCCGCCTTGTGCTCCGTTACGATCAAGAAATAATGGAAAAATCCGTCGTCAATTCAGCGTATAAATACTTGACTAACAATTATAGTATGAAAAACGTCAGTAAGCATTTGACTCAATGATAAATTGTATTTGCTGACAAGGTCATTGTATCCACCATAGAACTTACGAAATGATGACTTTAAAAGAGTCTGCCGAAATTCTTGTTTATCAACTTGTTTGTCAGTAATTTACCTCGCTGTAGAAATTGTTCATACGTAGAGCATGCGCATCTAATCAACATAGATATATAAACTCCGTATGCAAGTGATGAAGGTATATTGCTGAATAAGGGAAGTTGACGATAAAAAGTTAAAGTCATCATGCTTATCATAGAGCTTGGTTGTTACCCATGGGAATTCCAATAGACTTTAATTTATCGTGGGGAATGGTTGTGTATAAAGTTGAAAAGTCGTAAGTTTTTAAGCTGATGATTAAGAGGTGGCGTACGTCTCAAAATGAGTGAAAAATTCTCGAATGTATGTCTAACAAGCAAACTCGGAGCAATTTTTCAATGAATTTGTGCCACTGATATATTTAACATTTTTTTTAACTTTGATGCACTGCTGCATCGTATTCCATTATTTCTCCCTCACCGGTTAAACCGCATGGGATTTTAAGTTTCCTCCTCATCTGTCCGTTCACTATATCCCACTAGTTTTTCGCACATTATATATTTCACCTGGTCCTCAAAAAAGTTGGGGGGGGGGGACTTATGATAAACCCTCGATCGAAATAGGGGTAGTCTCGCAGGTTTGATTTTGGTGCAGATTTCTTTTCAAGCACTTCTATACCCTTATAATATATAATTATCAGAAATGCATGAAAGATGTTTCTACTAAGTTTTATTGCACCAGTCAAGGTCGTTTCAAGTGATGTAATTTTAGCAACAGAATTACCATGTTGTTTCTGGAGCTGGTTCAAGTTTTTTAGAAGGTCTAATTTCCAATCATCTTCTATTCGATTTACTAATAATCCTATATTGACCAAACCTGCAAAGGTGATGCAATTTAGGATGCACAATAGTTACCAGGTTCACTATATTTTCCCGAATGAAGTGACCAGAGTAGTTTTTTGGAGGTGCCTAGTTTTAAAGTAATTATTTGCCCTGTCTAGAAAAACTTGCAAGGATGATACATCTAAAGATGTACACATCTTGTCTTGCTTCAGATGCTGAATTTGACCTAAATTTTCAGACGAGCGCCCAAGTTTGGTTTTTTCCAGATAATTGAAGCAGATCCCTAACCAAGAAACTATATAACCCACCTAAAGCAAACTTGCATGGATGATGCATCTTGAAAGAAGCACAATACTATAATTGCTCCTGATGCTGGATTTGACCTATAGATAAGTGACCAGATTAAAGTTTTTGGAGCAGGATGTTAGTGGACCACTTGTCTAAATGGGACAGGCCCATAGGCAATGGACACATCCTATCCACGGAGATGTGGAAAAATACTTGTGAATAGCAAGAGCCCAAGTCCGAAAACTCAGAACCATTGTAATTGCAGCACAGTGCTAAGGTATGACTATTGCACAGCTGTTTGAAATGAACATAAATATGCACATCCTCTTGAAAACAAAGCATTAAAAAAATCAAAGCTTAAAAGTTCTCAACATTTTATTGTCAGTTTCTTTCAGCACAACATTTTTTTTCTTGAGTAATTGTCAAATCCCCCATTTGTGACTTTCCACTCTCTTGCATAAGATACAATTTCTTTATACATGTTAGAATGAGATGATGGTTGAATCTATATATGTCACACATGTAGAATTTCTGATATCTCCTATAAGTAGAGTAGACATCTCTGTTTCTACAATACTCTGTAAGTTATCTACATAACAGTTTTTCAGTCCTGGCATGTACATTTGAAAAAGAAAATTGCAACTTGATACCCAAAACAGCATTTCATAAATGAACTGATTTCAATTTGAACAAATGATTTGAAAAAATACAAACTTTCTAACAATGAACATGAAATTAAATCTGTGGAAAACAAACAATGGTATTTACCACAGATAACAAAATCAACATCAGAATCGGAGAGCCACAAGTGGTGCCCCTCTCTGTAGTGAAACATATGATATTCAAAATACAAACAAATCTATTCACAACAATATTCAATGAGTCTTTTTTTGGAATGAAGATGGCGCAGCTTCCACCAATTTAATTTTTTTTTCTTTTACATATTTTCTAGGAATTGAAATTCTCTCTATCCATTCATTTGTATAGTTACAGAAATAAGCAATAGGAGCACATCACTCACCTACCGCCACACAAACTCTAGTCTGATTTAGTGTAACAAAAAATTCTTAATATAAAACTTAAAATTAAATTCATGTACTGTTTTTATCTCCAATAAAAAAGAGTTATGTAAAATGTAGAAAAAAGTCTTGAAAATGACATTAGCGAAACTTGTATACATATTTCTAAATATTTATATTGTCTAAAATTGTTCAACTGAACAAATATTTTTTAAAGAGATTTGATTTTTTTAATTCATATTTCAATGTCAAAGTCTCAAAGACAAGCAAAGAAAACAATTTAACTAAACTCTAATGAAAAAATATAAAAGAACAGACAAGAAATTGATCAGAAAAGCTTCAATAAGCATTCAACAGAGATATTTATATCACTTTTAGTCTATTTCATTAAAATTCAAATCAATTTACAAGTTTTCATAAGGATTAATTAATAATGTGTTTGGTTCAATTAAACAGTCCCCTTACATACACTGATATTTATTGATGTGATAAAAAAATGTCTGGCAAAAAGTATTGTCAACAATCATTCTACAAGTGTTGATATATATACACATAATGTATTTGTGTGGTACAGATGCCCTGCCAAAATATATCTGATAAAATACTTGAGTGCACATAAATTAAAAATACTCAATTTGATGATGAGGGGACACTTGCTGACAACCCTTGTGTTTTTTCCTATATATATTACATACATTCACACCACATATTTACAAAGTCTTCAACTTTCTGAGATCAAATAGTACTTGATTAAATGTTGGACGATGGTGTTCAGATTAGCAGAAGCACTTGCTATGAAAACAGGCAACAGAATATTTAATGATAACTGCAGACAAACACAAAAGTCCCTTAAATCAGTACTGAAAATTATCCAATATACTGATGTATTCTCAGAAGCATTTATGTTGCATAAAGAAAACCTGTCTCGTCAGCACTTGGTATTCAGGGAGTAAAATATTCCATTAAAGCACATTTTCATGATTTTTTTTTCTCTTGAGAACTCAGCAGGCCACCATTCAATTGAGCTAAAACATGAACTATCTAGAAATATACTAGTTGTAATTTATATCACAGCATTTGTCACATGTAAACGGCCAATCCGCCTCAAGTCTCATCCAATCAAAACAAGGTTAACTGACAAATCATCCAATCAAAATAAAGTTAACTGACAAATCATCCAATCAAAATAAAGTTAACTGACAAAGTTGTCCAATCAAACACATGTTAACAATATCTGTCTGACAGTCATTGTTAATTGGCAAACATCATGAACCACTCTTTCACATCTTCATTTACACATTCATCTCTCAATCTGCACAAAATGTTTAATCTTAATAAAATGTTTCAACAAATGTAATGGACCAGACAGATTCATTAACAAATACATCTTTCAATCTATATCATTGCCATTTTTTCTCAATCATGTTACAACAGAATTCAACACAGACATTATCTTCTCTGATAGGGTGTTGGAGGTAGAGAAATGTAGGGTGTGTACAGGGGCTCTGTAGATCCTCCTCAATGATCTACAATGCCCGAGGTATTGCTGATATGCAATACTACAGAACCTTTCAAGAATTTTAACAGACATGACATTTACCCCTATAATTTTTTCTCACAAATTATTGAAAATAGGGATTAAAATACAATTTTCAAACAATCAAATGATATGGAAAGGATCTAAAAAAAAAATCACTTTAAATATTTATCCTCTATTTTAAGATTTTTTTTTTTTATGAATAAAGCATGATTACAACTGAGTATATTTTAACAGAATTTTATGCAAAGAGTTGCCATGAAAACTGCCAATACAATCACAGATATATGTGTTCATTTTTTTCCAGAGCTTCTTTTTTGCTTTGGTAACTATGGTTACCAACACAGGACTAAATGTCATCACATGAAACTCCCTGGATCCAAATAATGCCCAAAAATTTGACATGCCACTGCTGGGGTCAAACAATAAAAATAACCCCAGATCAATTAATAACAGCATGACAGTTTCTGTCTGTTGTTGATTCACAGTCTTCGGGCAGGGATCGAACTTTTCACTGTGTATCTCTATTTCACACAGCATTGGTATAGGGCATGGATCCTGCTTTTTGATGGTATAATTGAATTACAATCCTTTCTGAAGTATTTGGACCTCATCAGGATTTTCTGTTGACAAAATCACCTGAAATGGCAAAATGTGTGTAATATGAAGGTAATGTGTGTATGGATAAGATTTTTTTGAAAAATAAAAAAAGAAATTTAAAATATGGTCCTTAAAATGCCAGTCCATGACATACTGTAAAAGTATTACATTTGGCTGTTCATTCTTTTGCGCGTTTTTAGCGGAAAGAAATTTCCTCTAATTCAAGAGTTCTCTCTCTCATTTTTTTAAAAAAATAAACTGGAGACTTATAAAGGATAATTTTTCCAGATCAGCTAGGCAGTTAAGTATTGCTCTTAAGCAACCAAAATTGAGCTTCTTACCAAAAGGTTTGAGAACTAGGAAATTCAGGATGTCTGACAAAGAGACCACTCCAAACATTTTCTTATCATCATCCACCACTATCAACCGATGAACCTGTAGGGAAAAAATCTTAATTTACAAATATCCAAAAATCAAAGTTGGTATGATTTAAGCAAACTCAAATTTGCACAGCTATAGGAAGCATTCAGACATTTTACGTTTCTGACCCATCATTTCACGAGATGCATTCATTTCTTTATATTTCCTTTTGTAAGACAGATCCTGAATTAGACCGATATTAAAAGTCAAAGGTACATTTCAGCTATTTAAGCGCATGTCTATGCATCTCATTATGCTAATGTATCAGACCTCATCGCAAAGAAAAAATAATCTTGCAGCCTGTAGACAAATATATATTTTTTTTAAAAAGAAACATTCAGATAAATCCCCATGAAAATATTCCTTTTTTAATAACAGAACATTTTAGTGACATCTAATCAGCCTATTGATTAATATGTGTGAAACCAAATAATATTGTCTTCAGAAACACTCCTCTACAAATCACAGATTTTAATCCTATGGACTTTTTTGTATAGTTTTTTATAATGATCACAATGGTTTACCTCTGCCTTGACAATTTTCTCTATCACCACTTCTAAGGTGTCATCCTTTTTACACGTCACAACCCCCTCAAACCAGCCCTCCTGTAAAGGTAAATGTCAGCATTATATAGCATTATATATAGAATGAGGAACCACTTATTTATAGGCCAGCTTTAATTCAGTTTCTGGCACTTCTTAATATTTCAGATAAGAAAATCACCCCCCCCCCCCTTAACAAATAATTCCATTTCAAATTTTGATACACTGAAAAATCTTTACAATAAAATATATCAAGTACTTGATTCTTTGATTTTCACCATTCCTTAAGTGCTAATTATGATATTATATATTTTTGAGTATTTTGTTCCTACCTGGGTTCTGTGTTGTAGGGCCTGCTGTACAGTGATGTCAAGGTCATTGTATGTCTTCTCCGCTGCTAAATTCTGAAATAGACATTGTGAATCACTGTGTGATGTACATTTTAAAGATACTTTGAAGTTACTGTGGTTTCATCAATATTCGTTGAGCACCAATTTTTCAGGATTTCGTTGTTGAGCAGATTCACAAATTCAAATATTAATTGAATTAATAACTATGATATTCATTTGTATAGGCAATGCTTTTATAAATGAAATTACGTATCCTAGAAAACCTCTGTTTACCAAAATCCACAAAAAATTGATGAAACCACAGTACGTAAAATCCTGAGGAGACTGTAGCCTTACCATGTAGAAAGGGGAATTCTCTTTAACCCTCTCTATCCCCTGTCTGTTATATTAACATGTATTGATCTTGATTACCTATCAACAACTCACTACTTCAGATTTTAAAACATAGCGAGTCAAAAAACAGTCTCCATTGCTAGAGTTAAATTTTTTCCTGATTTCTTACTAACAATACACTAGTTTAAATTTTAATCCCCCATTTCTAATGAAGTTTTTTTTTATCCTGATAGAGTACTTACAATGACATCAAACTTGGCGTAGATGTTGATGACTTTGCCCTCCTCGTCACAGATAGGTAGAGCTGAGATGTGGTGATCCACAAACAAGTTCAGGGCCTTGATGATTGGAGTGTTCGGTGTGGCCTACAAAACACAGAAAATATCAAACTGATGAATAAATGCTAGACAGCCACAAGTTTCCTCCTCAGCCTGTGATTTTGAAGTATTAGTGTTGTACTTGTTATATTACGCATACACATAAACAAGCATGTTATATTTCATTACATATATGTAGAATACAAACATTTATTTCATAAAGAACAAGTCAAAAATACAGATTAGAGCAGTTGTGGAAGTTAATTATTATGTTTGTTGTCTATTACGACATCACAAACCCACCAAGCTGGGAGGTCTCCACATGACACATACAAAACTGATGACATTAAACCTTGTCTTACAACCTCAGAGAACTTTAAAGTCATTATTTTACAAATAAAATAAGACACAACAGACTTAATTAGATGATATTTTGAGTTTTTTTCTAGCAAGAGGCAATGTTGTTTTGTTAATCTTTTTTATATTTAATATTACCTTCACCAGGTTCTCGTAGGTTCCTATGGACAGCTCCTCCAAACTCTGTCTCATGTAGCTGGGTTTTGGCAACTCATTGATCTGCAGAGGAAACAATTACATTATCATCTGTATCTATCAATTTAATTTTGTAAAATCTCTCCACTTTAAATATTCACCTAAGGCTGTTTTGATAGTTATGGGACTTTTATTACAAATTTAGTCCATCAAGGACACTGATAAAAAGAAATTGGAGAAGAATTTCACAGCACATAGTGAAAGATATTCTATTTCTAAATTTAAGGAATTTATAAGTAGAATTTGCGTATAGGAATACTTATATCATCCCAAATAATAGTTGATATGACTGAGTGGAGTTCTCTCCCTTAGTACTCACATAGATATAGAGGAACCTGAGAATTCGTTTATGAGTGAGGACATAGAGGGCGTTGCCTGTCGTCCGGTCCACCACAGGAAGTCGGTGAACTTTACAGGTGATCAGGGTTTTAATGGCTTGGTACAAATTGGCGTCGGGTTCGATACAGACAAACGGCCTCTGTTTATCCCGTAACTCCTCTCTCCACGTCTGAATTTTGTGATTTTCTAACTCATCCATTTTGACCAGAGGTGATTTGTAGTATTTATGTAGGATATTTATAAAGTCTGTGATGGTTAACATTCCTACATAGTCCTGTTTGGTGGTATCCCACAAAGGCGCCGCCCGGACCCCGTTATAAACTAATGCAAAGAATGCCTTCTTCACCTGCAAATATACACACAAAAAGTCAATTTTTACCACACAATCCCATTGACAAGTTCTTATTTCATTTACAGTGCTGTAAATCTTTATATTCTATGTGGTGCTTCTCAATTTTACAGCACTGTAAATCTTCAAATGCTATACAAGTGCTTCTCAATTTTACAGCACTGTAAATCTTCAAATGCTATACAAGTGCTTCTCAATTTTACAGCACTGTAAATCTTCAAATACTATACAAGTGCTTCTCAATTTTACAGTGCTGTAAATCTTCAAATGCTATACAAGTGCTTCTCAATTTTACAGTGCTGTAAATCTTCAAATGCTATACAAGTGCTTCTCAATTTTACAGCACTGTAAATCTTCAAATGCTATATGTTTGGGAATCAGTTTGTAGTAATTTATTAAGCAGGTAAATAAGGAAAACAGATGGCATTTAAATTTATTACAATGGCACAAACAAGTGTCCAATATAATAGAAGTACATGTTCCGGGGTACATATGATAAATTTATCATATAATAAATTTAAGAAAAGAGTGACACTTCAAGTATGACTGGCTAGATAAGACGCACCCTATGTCTATAAATAGCAGATATTGTTAAAAGATAATTTATAGATCTTACAAATTATGATCACCTGAAGCAAAATCCAGAAAATATTTCTTGAACCACAACAGAAAAAGTGCCTTTTAATGATTTGATTAATGTTTTTCCCTTCTCTGCAGAAATCTTGTACTTGAGCCAAATATATACAAAAAGTAATTGGAAAAAATGATTTAATAATGAAAAAAAAATCATTGAATGTGTTGGAAAGACTGACACACATTTTCTAGCATTGATTAGACATCAAAATTCATCAGCTCACCGACAATTCGACCAAGTCAAGGATGTAAAAAAAAATTGGCTCAAGTCCAGGGGCTTTCTTTGTACATCAAGGTAAACTCTACCTCATGAATATATTCTACATATAGATTGAAAAAAAAAAGAAACAACGCTGTGTTATAAGCACAAGGACACCATGGAATGTAAAATGAATACATGAACAACAAAACCATTTTTGAAATGACTACCTCGAGTTTCAATTTTCAGATGTTTTTTATCGCCTTGTGAAGGTATTTGTATATATGAATACATGCATTCTTGCACGCAGCTCTTTCTGTGAAGTTCAATTTTTGTCCTGTTTATCCAGTATACATGATTTAATTACTCCAGTAATGCCTGACCACTCGTATATTATCAATCGGTAATACACCATTTACTTACAGAGCCATACTTCATTTCACGCAACTGGCATGCTAATGAGAATTTTGGTATTCAAACTTCCTCAACAAGACAAGAGAGGTGACATTGTAGGTAGAAAATAACCCACTGCACATTAGCTGAGGTATATGTGTAATGCACTTTTACCAGCGACCATTGTCTAGGCAGGAAGAGCATTTCCATTAATTAAAATCTTATCTGAATAGTGTGGTTTGATTAACATAAACACACCCATTCACTCGTATGTTAAAGACTTTCAAGACAATTAAAGGCTTGTATTCAGGAATAGTCCATTCCTGAGAACATTATGACAAACAAATACTGCAAGTTACAGAAATCGTGTTGCATTTGGAATCTGTATAAATTTGTAGCTTTAGGTACATATTTATGACTGACTGAATTAATCCACTGGGTTTATACAATGTCAAAACAAAATATTTCTGATCAAATCAAAAATTATCCATTTACCTCAGTTTTCAAATCAAAACATAGGTAATCAAAGATTATGAAGCTCACCTCGACGAATGTTATCAGTTTAGGCAATGCAAATCTCACATCATATTTTTTTAACAGTAAATATTTATTTTGACAATATTCAAGCAAGTTCTGTTTAAATAGGTCTTAAAATTCATTGGGGATTAACCTGTTCCAAAAACTTCATCATTCGTTTGGAAATTGTTGGTCAGATCCAGCATCCAAAGTAAGGTTTCATTATCCATCCTAAGATGCATCATCCATGCAAGTTGGTCTGGGTAGGGCTTATAGTTACTTGGGAAGGGACCTGCTCCAAAAACTTTAACCTAGTCACTCATCTGGAAAATGTAGGTCACATCCAGCATCCGAAGCAATTCTGGTAGTGTCCATCTCTAGATGCATCATCCATGCAAGTTTGGTCCGGGTAGGGCTGATAGTTACTTGGGAATGGACCTGCTCCAAAAACTTTAACCTGGTCACTCATCTGAAAAATGTAGGTCACATCCAGCATCCAAAGCAAGTCTGGTAGTGTCCATCTCTAGATGCATCATCCATGCAAGTTTGGTCCAGGTAGGGCTGATAGTTACTTGGGAATGGACCTGCTCCAAAAACTTTAACCTGGTCACTCATCTGGAAAATGTATGTCACATCCAGCATCCAAAGCAAGTCTGGTAGTGTCCATCCCTAGATGCATCATCCATGCAAGTTTGGTCCAGGTAGGGCTTATAGTACTTGGGAATGGACCTGCTCCTAAAACTTTAATTGGGACGCCGACACCGACGCCAGGGGTATAGCATAAGCTCATCTCGACTTCGTCGAGGTGAGCTAAAAAGGTAAATAATTGGGTTATACACATATAACCACAGAATTTGTACAATTTGGTGTATGATGTGTGTTCTCTGTATACTTACATTTAACTGGGTGTCAAATATAACTAATTTGGCACTGGTTGGAATTAAGTCATAACATTTGTGTGCTCGCATAAATTTTGCAAATGCTTGGTCAATGTTCTCATCTACAAAACAGAAACATTTCAGACATCAATCCAAACATGCTAGTCCTTCTACATTGTATAATGAATAAACAAAAATAATAGCCTGTCGGGTTCAAGCAACCTTTCTCCTGCTGGGGAATGAGGAATGCTGAGGATTTATCACATATATATAACAATGTTGCCATGTTGTTTTTTAAATAATTTTTTCCCTACTTGTAACAGTGTGTCATACATCTGAATCAGTAGTAATATTGCATTTAAGTAGATAATTTATCAAGAAAAGGACTCTTTAAAAAGAAAAGAAAAATTTCCATGTGTCTACTTTAGATGACATTGGATGTGTTGGGGGTATAATTAACTGATAAGATTTTTCCACCTGCAGCCTGTCCCAGTAAGTGTTAGCTGCTTGTTTTACTAGGTGATATACTTACCTAAATCCTCTATCTCCATGTTTGACATTTCAGGAAGATCCCCATCCAGATTGAACTGAAAGTAAGAACAGAGGCACATCAGCTACAAGGCTCACCTGAATCATATTTCTCTAACAGAGGTATTATTAGTTACATAGTCTTTTAGTGAAAAAAAATGGGATGATAACCTGAACAATATAAATTTACATACCTAAAAAGGCGGAGCCAGGTATGAAATTTACTAACAAGGTATCATCCCATACCCTGTCACTTAAAGACTATGTAAAGAATTTACCCCACCGATGAAACATTTACCTTTTATCTGTGGTATATAAATGATTTTCTCTGCTAAATGGTTCATCACGCTTAAATACTGTGCCTATTATGACGTCACGTTATGTTTGTTACGTAATACATCGACCGGGTATAGATTTACAACTGACCGGGTATAGATTTGCAACTGACCGGGTATAAGTTATCCACCGCCTTCACCTGACAGACTTTAACCAATCGTAAGCCAGGATTTCACGGAAAAATCAACAGAGGTGGGGTAAATGTATATACATAGTTACTAATGCAATCAACTTTAAATTTAGAGTTTCAGTAATTCTAACAATTATCAGAATCGCAAAAACTAATTACTAGTCACAATTCAAGTTCAAGCTCACAAATTGCAAATGAAAGTTACAAAGACACATGGCTTATTTAACCTAAGTCGATTTCTGTCCAGTATCATTTCTGTCTTTTCCCTCTAAGTGTTTTTCTTAGTTAAATTCATTTTTTAGATAATTATTTCCCCTTTGATTTTAACATGACCCTTTCTTTCAATTCCATACTGCCGATGATGCTTTATGCCAAGTTTGAGGTAAACTGGTTCATCATTTTTTGAAAACTAAGTTTACAATGTGGAAAACCTACAGGTGATATTTGCATAAGATGGACTACTAAATTTCATCAAGTAGATCATTAGAAATTTCAGCTGAGCTAAAATTCAATACTATATTGATATCCTCATTTAATTATCAGTATAGAGCCAAGAATTTAGTACTTCACCATTCTACAATTAACCATAAAATGGTGTTGACATCAAACTAGTGGACAAATTAGGTCCATAACAAGGTCAAATGACCATGCCTCTGGGTAGCCTAGGTCATCATGACTTGCTTATGTCCTGACACGCAATAGTCCAAGATATCAACATCTGACCGAGTTATTCTAGGCCTTACAGTGTGGTAAAAATGATTCTAAAAAGATTGCCACAAGTTTGCATTTCCATCCCCCTAACCCACCCACCCCACAAATAGTTTGATAGTTAACGTTCTTTGTAATAGTGAAACAATATAAGATAAGCCCATAAAATGCAGATAATTAAACATTTACCAACTAACATATAGCAGGCAACCTAACATACAGCGCGGTATTTGTTGCAGTAACAAGTACAACATGTAACATTAATATTTCTAAAATTAACAATAAATAACAAGGATTGCTTATTCTGCATTGTTAATTTTTTTCTAGTATGCATTTTAAAAAGAAAATTCAGCACCTAAAACACACCCTTTCTGAATGGTATGCACGGAAGGCTTACCCTAACAGGAGGGTCTGAGGATTTGTAGATGATGGCATGTGTGTGATCATTGGTTAGAGAGGAGGGGCCCTTCATAAGGGGCGGGGCAGACTTACCCTGACTGGAGGGTCTGAGGATTTGTAGATGATGGCATGTGTGTGATCATTGGTTAGAGAGGAGGGGCCCTTCATAAGGGGCGGGGCAGACTTACCCTGACTGGAGGGTCTGAAGATTTGTAGATGATGGCATGTGTGTGATCATTGGTTAGAGAGGAGGGGCCCTTCATAAGGGGCAAGAATTTTACCCTGACTGGAGGGTCTGAGGATTTGTAGATGATGGCATGTGTGTGATCATTGGTTAGAGAGGAGGGGCCCTTCATAAGGTCAACTTACCCTGACTGGAGGGTCTGAGGATTTGTAGATGATGGCATGTGTGTGATCATTGGTTAGAGAGGAGGGGCCCTTCATAAGGGGCGGGGCAGACTTACCCTGACTGGAGGGTCTGAGGATTTGTAGATGATGGCATGTGTGTGATCATTGGTTAGAGAGGAGGGGCCCTTCATAAGGGGCGGGGCCCACTTACCCTGACTGATAGTTAACGTTCTTTAGAGGGTCTGAGGATTTGTAGATGATGGCATGTGTGTGATCATTGGTTAGAGAGGAGGGGCCCTTCATAAGGGGCGGGGCAGACTTACCCTGACTGGAGGGTCTGAGGATTTGTAGATGATGGCATGTGTGTGATCACTGGTTAGAGAGGAGGGGCCCTTCATAAGGGGCGGGGCAGACTTGGGCTCGTTCGCATTGGAATTCTTCCTGGGAGATACTGAAAATTACAAAAAGAAAACTTAAAAATACAAAAACATTCAAATCACATACTTCACTTACTTAAAACAAAAACATACACATAATTGCATAACTTATTGTTCGGGGAATTATGTCTAGCCATTTGATTGGCACCATACAGAGGAAAATAAATTAAAACAATTCATTTTCTTAATGCCAACCAGACACACAAGACTGTTCAATCAATGTTAAACATTTATTAAGGTGTATGCCTTTCTGTACAAGCTATTTAGTTGAGAGTTTAGACAATATAATAAATCTGTTTACCTCTGGGAATAAGAACCAGAGATATCTATACATCAAACAAGAAGATTTTAATTAACAGAGACTTAATTGTTCATCATCTTCTAAAAATATAATGAGCAGTACATGAGACCCCTAAATTTTCTTGAATACACAAGCAGCCGCAGTACACTTGAAATATATATTGATTTCTTTCCCGCAGAGTTTATCGAATACACCACAAATACACTTTTCAATGGCCATAAAAGCTTTTTTAGGTTGGAGGTAAAAATTGATTTTTTCTTAATGACATTATCATAATTGACGAAGGCAAGCAACTTCTTTCTTCGTTTAAAACTTATTTTCACTTGCATTACCCACAAGTTTAACTCAATTAGATGTACCAAACCAAGTATATACGTTTATGTGTCTCCTGCTTTTTCCTGCTACTGGTGACCATTACCAAGCGTTTCTTGACAAGATATGAATGACTGTTTGAACACAATTATTTTATGTTTAAAACATATAAATTAAATAAAAATTAAATATTTGATTGAAGGAAAGTCTTCCTATGCAGGGGTTCAAAATTCCTCAAGCCCGACGTCCCGGACTAACAAATTCCGGATCCGGACTCGTCATTTAGAATTCACCAAAGTCCTGGGACTTGGCTATGTTTCTTGTTTATCTTTTTTTATAAGTTAAAAAAAAAATGATCGTAAAGCTAAAAATAAAGCAAATTCTCAAATGTCTTGTAAAAATGTGGGTTTGTGGGCATTACAATACCCATAAAACATTACGAACGTTTCCAAAATACAATCCGTCTTTTTATTTTCCGTTGCGGTTAGACTCTTGCTTTTACGCAATTTCTCATGTTTCCTCCTATATGACAAACGGCAATGAGTTTGTTAAATTTCCGTTTTAGCTGTGACTTACAGCACATTCTAATTTCTATTTATTGTAACAGATGGTTTATTCAGTAGTGAGTATTTGTAAAAGTTATTGTAATGTACCAGTAATCTATCAGTCTGGTATTGTGTTAAAATACGCATGTATGACTATATGACAGTTTATGGAGAAAAAATAAAACATATATTAATACATATAGTCTATTAGTCTTTATTCATTCAATGCAACAAATGAAAATAAATTATAAGTAACATAAATTTAATGATTGATATATAGGTAAATATGGACTCTGAAATTTCTTCCTCGGACTTGCCTAAAATTTACTCTTTAAGTCCTGGACTTGACCATGACAAAAAAAATTTTGAACCCCTGCTATGCCATGGATTTTTCCTCTCTAACTGTGCTTCAACTTTGACAGAAAAGAGAACTTCAAATTAAACAGAGAATACAATCATCTACCTTGCCAATTTTAATATAAAGAATGCTAAAGGAATTGACAGATTTTAATATTCCAAGTTGTCACACTGCATAAATTAGCATTCTTATTATCTGAATGAATAAAAGCCAATTGGTTTTATACTGAACATTCACCAAGTATCTATCAGTAATGTGATTTGCTATACAAATTTTGAAGTTTATAATGATTCAAATTAAATTCTGAACATCTTAAAAAACCCAACATATAAACCAAACAAAACAAACCAAATACAAAAATTCCTCTGATCGTGCCTATAAACTCAAACATTCAAAGGTAAAAGAAAACTTTATACCCTGTTCAATAAGAATTTATGCTGGCAAGTCAGAAAGCTTGCTGATTACAAATAATTTCCACCCCAAACAACTCTAAAGCTACCTTTTTAAACCCATTTTGGCCTGGTTTTTGAAGCCACGCCTATTAGACAATCAGTGTGTCTTTTTTGGGAACAGTTATCTTAGTTAACCCTATTTTGAGCATACCCATTAATGGACCGAAATCTTTAGCTATAATTCTATTTACACACTGGACTAAAATCTTTTCAAAAGTCTACCCTATTTGTAGGTATATAAATGTATGGACTGTTGACCCAGTGCCTTCAGCTATAAACCAAGTCTTTTTGAGTGTTCCGTATACATATGCAAAATTAATCAGGGATCATGCAACATTCACAAAGCAGCTGTTGTCATCAGTTTTTTATCTACTTTTTTTTTTCGAGTCAAGGACGGGTCATGTTATTTTCTTAAGTTTTTAGGGCTTTACTTTTCATGTCAGCATGCTAGGCTTCAATATCAGAACACTGTAGAATAAACATGTCAACTTCTTAATAACATATCAAAAAAAGAACTTTTTTAGAATTCTGATTTTGCATGCATAAACATACGACTTCAGACAATATTATAAATATTCACCAATAGGAATCATTCAATCACTTGAAAAGTGCCCAAATACATTTAGTACCTTCTTTTTTTTTTTTTTTTTAAATTGCGGATGTTTGTTAAAATAGGAAACACTAGTTCTAGTTGTGTGACCTACTTTTGGATGGGTTAAGAACTTACTTTGTGACATAATCCTATCAAGATGAAGGGACATTCCATGTCTGTAAGCATACAATTTCAGACAATATTAAAAATATTCACCAATAGGAATCATTCAATCACTTGAAAAGTGCCCAAATACATTTAATACCTTTTTTTTTTTAAATTGTGGATGTTTGCTAAAATAGAAACACTAGTCCTACTTTTGTGACCTACTTTTGGTTAAGGACTTACTTTGTGACATAATCTTATCAAAGATGAAGAGACATTCCATGTCTGTAAGCATTATCCATAATTAGCCCGAGTTGAGACACTGTTAATACATTATTACTACATGCATTAGGATCATTATCAATATCTTTATCTGGAAACTCTGTTCTGTACAGATGATTAATTGATCTTCCCAGCTTTTCTCCAATCAATTGATGTTGGTAATCAGGTTTTCCCCTGAAAACTTGGACCAGACCCAGAAAACAAGTGATAGACCTTAAGAATTGAAGATAACAAAACAATGCCAGCTATAAGGAATTAATGCTATTACTGTAGACTACAAATTAGCTTTACATGTCTTCTAAACATGTATGTGTATCAAAAAAAATAATTATAAAACATTCACTATATTTTATCTGAAAGAATAGAAAATATGTCTGTAATCACTACTACTAGCTATTGTTTTCTTTTTTTTTAAGTAATACACATTAAATTTGATCTGAAAAATTTTAAGTGGTCTTAAAATTTCCTGATTGCTTAATCATGCTTGTAACATTCCCCTATGCTACCTCTTTATAATATACAACAGGATATGACAAACATATCTAACCCTCTTACACTGTGTTACGGATACAATATTCACATCATCTATATAAAGCAATGTGGCACATTTTACATCAGTTTATTTATAACCCTTTATCCAATCGAAGGAAAGTCTCCGACGATTGAATCATAGCTGATTTATAGGTTTGATGTACATAATTGGAGGTTATACTGCATACTTTCGGACAAAAAAATTCCAGTTTTATATTTGAGCATTGGTTAATGTATAATTCATCAAACATTTGGAATGGCAAACTCTTTCCAAGGTATTCCAGGTATTCTAAATATTTGAGTTCACTAACATTATAATTATAGCAATGGTCAACTGCAAATGTAAACCGAAACATGCCTAATCAAATACCAGTCTGTTCCTAAAATGTTGCAATATGTACACCTCATGTATCTCTCTCTCCAATCACAAACATGTATAGTTATGTCCCCTGGTTGTTGTATGAATATAATACCATATAAGCTTGGTGTTAAATTTTCACCCTGTTATATTGCATTAATGATTGAGTGTAAAAACTGACTTTATTTCTACAGCATGAGCAGTGGCTGTGTTTCAGATGAAAAGTAAGCGTTACATTTTGTATATAGGAACAGTTATGCCAGTGCTGGTTTATAATATGACATCATTTCTACAACAATAAAACTATTTATGTGGCTTTATTTACTTATGAAATCTAATTTTAGTTCATCTTAAACATGTTGAATGGACAAATATTAGAATTCAGATTGAAATTTTAAACATTTTTTTATTTGATGATCATTTAATTCTGTGTCTATATAGTTATCTGTACACCACCATGTGTTACCATGCTGTATTCTAACCTAGTTCTGTAAAGTTTCAAAACACATGCTGTTGCCCGCAATCACATGGTTTGCTATAATCATGTCGAAGAGGAAAAGTTTCATTATATGTTATCTATCGAGAACAAACAAATAATGATTTTTTAATTCTAAATACTTATTTCCATTTTCTGATTTTTTTTTTTCAAAAACCGAAGGCTTTTTCAAAATGACATTAATTACATATCTATCCACTACATACAATCTCTGCTGAATACTGAATTAAGCACTGGTCTTTATTTACATATCAGTACAGTACGTACTATAAAGTTATTGATCACCCAGCATATAAATACACACCGCTATCAATAATTCATTCCCATAAATCAGCATTACTTTTAGTTCGTTTTTTTTCTCATTTATATTCAACGTGAAGAATTATAATCATGCACTTTTTGATCAGTGTTAGTGAAAAATAATGTGTATGAAATCACATCAGTCAAAGAACTTTATACTTTTCTTATCAAATTAAAATCAAAGTCTAAAGAAATTGGGTTAACCTTAATTAATCAGAGCTATAGCAGGTAATTAGCCGAGCGGTAGGAGAGTCAAAATCGTGCTTCATGTCACATCCTTTATCTCATCTCTGACATTTTTAATTGTTTACAGAAAAATCTTAATTCTCGTTAATTAACATCTTTTTGTTCTCAGACGATGGCCATGGCTATATTAAAGAGG